AGAGAACAAGAAGAACATATGTTTAAAGAAGATTGGAAAACGTTGATTGAATATATGGAAAATAATTGTGTGCAGCTGAAAACACTGGCAGCATTAACAGTGTAAATAAGTTCTGATAGATGCAATACAGTACAGTCATACCTCGGGTTATGCATGCTGCAGGTTGCGTGTTTTCGGGTTGTGGACCGTGCCGAACCCAGAAGTACCAGAATGGGTTACTTTCAGGTTTTGGTGTATGTGCATGCGCAGAAACACAAAATGACATCACGTGCATGTGCAGAAGTGTCGAATCACATCACGCGCGTGCGCAGACACAGCGTTTCAGGCTGCGAATGCTGCAGGTTGCGAACATGCCTTCCGCACGGATCATGTTCGCAACCCGAGGTATGACTGTAATGGAAAATGGATTGGTATAGTTTTTGTGAAATGTGCAGGGGATATAAGATATGTAAAATGAACCATGGAAAGAGAAGAAGGGAAGTCACTGATATCTTAAGTATGTAAAATGTTTATTTGAAATTGTAAAACAGAAAATTTAATAAAAGTTATATATATATATATATATATATATATATATATATATATATATATGAGTTGTTTGGGTACCCCACAAAGAGCTCCAGCTCCAAGGGAGAAACATGACTGTTAAGGTGTTTTAAATGTATGGTGTGGATGTGACTACCAAAATCAGTATGTGACCACCAGAGGATGTACGCTTCTGAATACCAGCTGCTGGAAACCACAGGGTGGGAGAGTGCTATTGAGCTCAGGTCCTGCTTTGGGGCCTGCCATGGTACCTGGCTGGACACTGGGAGAACAGGATGCTGCACTATATATGGGCCACTGACATTGTCCTGTTCCAACAGGGTCTTATGTTCTTATGGCCACCTTTCTGATTGCCTGTACCTGGCTCACTCCTTAGTGCCTGCTAACAGCTATAAAATGAGTCTAAAAGCAACAGCACTGGATGGGGTTGTTGTTGTTTTTTCATCATCTGATAACTACCTTTCATAGTACATTATGCACAAACTTTGTTCCAAATGGTTAGCTCTGGGCCCTTGGGGCTATCTGCATACTTCTCTATTCTTCTCTATGCTGCCAGCTTCCTTGTGCAGACCTAACCACCTTCTCTGTAACTCAAGTTCGCCTGACTGAGCTAATCTAAACATAAGAGCAGCAAGGTGCAGATTTCATCCTTAAAATGTAATAGATTTTATTTATCCAAGATCAACAAATAGCATCACAATGCAAAGTCTAAATTTCTTTGTTGCCCAGGGGAGCCCAAGAGGCAATAAATCAAAGCAACACAGCAGCCAAATGGGTGATTGTTTTCAATTAAAAGAAAATAGACCTTGCCTTTCCTTGTCAGGATACACACTTAAGAACATACTAAATAATCAGGCTAGAAAGTATGCTCTCAGGAACAGTTGTTTTGTTTTAATGGAAAACCCTCGATGAATAAAAAAGTAGAAGGATGAAGCTCCCTACACATAGCAACTTCTGTTTCTGTTCTGAAATTTATTAGCACTAAAGGTGACAGTGTCAACAATTTTGAGTTTACAATATGCATTACCAAAATGGAAGGCACATAATGCTGCTTAATCCTAGGCAAGTTTACTTAGAAGTAAGGCACAATTATTAAACTGGCTTTCTTTTTTCTTTAATAAAAATGACTTTTTTAAAAAGAGTAGAAGTCAATTAATTCAAGAGGACTTACTCGCAAGTAAATGTGCATGGAACTACAGCCTATATACACACTTGAGAAGCAAATAAATGGGGGGGAAAATGGCCCCCTATTCTGCAGATGCTCTTGAGGGCCTTGCCAATTTTGGGGGTAGTTTTTCAATATAAATTTTGCCCAAGATGACTATTTTAATTTTCTTTGGATAAGCTTCATGTAAATATTGGAGGAAAAGTATTAAAATCCCACCTCCATTTCTGTGATACTCATTTGGTTTCATGAGCTGCCAGAGTACAATAATATCTACTAGCAACAATAAAGTCCTTTATATTATATTTAAGCAAATGTTTAATGGCTGGGAATAATATGGGCTGTTTAAGTTATGTGATTTTAAAATAATTTAAACTATATTCAATATACACAGAGGCAAGCAGCATTAGATCCCTTTGTAGCACAAGTCCAGGAGTTCCTTATATCTATGCTGCTGCAAGCATATGTGATAATAAGAACATGATAAGCAGCAGCCAAGAGGGTCTGGATCAGGGGTCAGCAATCTTTTTCAGCAGGGGGCCAGTCCACTGTCCCTCAGACCTTGTGGGGGGCCAGACTATATTTTTTTGAGGGGGGGGGGAATGAACGAATTCCTATGCCCCACGAATAACCCAGAAATGCATTTTAAATAAAAGGACACATTCCACTCATGTAAAAACACACTGAATCCTTGAATCCTGGACCGTCTGCGGGCTGGACTGAGAAGGCAATTGGGCCGGATCCAGCTCTGGGCCTTAGGTTGCCTACCCCTGGTCTGGATCAAGACCACAATATGCAAGGAAGAGGGTTTGATTCCTTCTTCCTGCACCATTGTCGCAACAACAACAACAACAACAACAACAACAACAACAAACACACCCCTTTCTTCCAAACTGCTATATTCTCCCCAGGGAAGAAGCTTCTATTGTTGTAAATTATACACCTACAGGCAGGAAAACATTTGCTACATTTTCTCAATAAGTGATCAAATATAGGCAACCAATGCTGAGTATTCATTTACCACAGTGTTCACATAACCATTTGACAAGCTGGTTATCTGCGTTGTTCAGCCAAGTAGGGAGCAGTATTTTCCTTTTTTAAACAATCCCATTGCTTCTCTTGATTTCTTACTAGGTGCAAAAGTGTAGTAAGAGATTCCTCATGGTCGGACAATACTTTCCCCATTTGACCATGTAAACTGGTAACATTCCCTCTAGGCAATGATAATTTGTTTAATATAGTCATGGGCTTCCTTGAAAGTCATCGCTGACCTACATTATCCACGCAGAATTGTTTCATCAGAATAATTCGTCCAGGCAATATGAGTAGATGTTGATGGGGCTTCTCTGTTGATCTTATTAATAACTCTCCTGGAGTGGGTTGCTTTTGGTTGAGGGCATGCCACTTTATTATTATCATTACTTGAATTTATATACTGCTCTATACCCACAGGTCTCAGGGTAGTTCACAGAATAAAATCAAAATAGAAAACCACAAAATACACAATCAAAATAAAAATAACAACAACCCAATAACCACTCCCTACTAGAAATAGCTGGGACGTGGGTGGCGCTGTGGGTTAAACCACAGAGCCTAGGACTTGCTGATCAGAAGGTCGGCGGTTTGAATCCCCGCGATGGGGTGAGCTCCCGTTGCTCAGTCCCTGCTCCTGCCAACCTAGCAGTTCGAAAGCACATCCAAGTGCAAGTAGATAAATAGGTACTGCTCTAGCGGGAAGGTAAACGGCGTTTCTGTGTGCTGCTCTGGTTCACCAGAAGCGGCTTAGTCATGCTGGCCACATGACCCGGAAGCTGTACGCCGGCTCCCTCGGCCAATAAAGCGAGATGAGCGCCGCAGCCCCAGAGTCGGCCATGACTGGACCTAATGGTCAGGGGTCCCTTTACCTTACTAGAAATAGAAATATAATACATATCAAGCCTAACAAACTTCAGCCTGAAAAGTGAATGCTCAAAGATCTCTCTCCCCACCTCAGCTCTTCTCATCTTGCTCCTGCCCCCCCCCCCCCCGCAGCCTTGCTGTGCTAATGAAGTATTAACAGGCTTGTCTCTCTGGATCAAGTCAGATAAGGACAAAGTACGATATTATAAAAGGCCTCACACGAGTACCCTGTCACAGTTAAAATTCAATTTAGTACAGTATAGTCTTAGGACACCAGCTTGAGAAATTTCAGTTTCAACTGATCTAAATCATTTCAGATCCATCTGTCCACCTTCTGACAATACATTATGTTAACATACATGCTATGAAAGTACCTGCAATAGCTTCATATGCTTAATTTATGTTCCACACATGCCACGTAACAGTATCTTGAGCACATTGCAGGTTTTGGCCATGCAACCTCACCAAACTGGATTAAGGTGAACATGATGCCACAGGAAATGTTCTTTATGTGAAGTGTAAAACCATTTTTATCATGGCTGTTTTCTAAATCTTTCGGTTTTCCTTTGCTTTGCTTCTAGATGCACAATGCACTTAAAGCTCTAAAACTGTTGTTGGTGTTTGGTTATATAAAATGCCACCGAGTTTACAAGGCACTGATTAACGTAGCACTTATTGTTTTGTTCTCATTAAAGATTGCCCTTTGATCTGACATTGTGCAGATCAGGCCGCCTGTTAAGATGGCATACCTAAGGATCATGGCTGTAGGCAGGATTTTTGTTAGGGGGTGCAACCTTTCGTTAGGGGGGCAGCACCTCATATTTGTATTGTATTGATTATGGGGGGGGCAGCTTCCCCCTGCCCCCCCCAGCTACGCCCATGCCTAGGATGCTCTCTTCTGCAGAATGTCATATTCAGTTGTGCATATGAGCCCCATGTTGTAGGTATCCGGATTCCAAGCTAATTGGCAGCAATAATGTGGGATGGAACTTTGGGGGGTTTCAACGGGAGGAGAGAATTGTGCGAAATGGGCTTGGATCCTAAAACAGGTTAACAAGCAGCTTCGATTCGAATTGGGGAAAAGAACAAGCCGGCTGCCTTTTGCGCCCGTGACACGTCCACAGCCTAATTCCTTGCGCGTGAAGGAACCAGGATGCTCTGAATGTCGTAGCACCTGCCGCATATGGCGAGGGAGAAACGAGTGTGGCTTCCTTCTTGTTCACATAGTGAGAGGGTGCACGGAGCTCTTCCCCTGCTGCGGGCTCCCTCAGTAAACGTGCATAAGATCGGGTGGTTTGCAAGGCAACCAAGCCCCTTTCCTGCTGATTTAACCGGGGTTTCCCCCAGGCCGCCTTGGCGTTTCCCTTCCTACACGCGCGCCGCTTTCTGACAGGTCCTGAGGCGAGCAGAAGGGAACTTGAGCTTTAGGCGGGAACCGCCTCCCCGGGCAGGCTCCGGCCTGGGGCTTCAGCAGCCGCCCTGGTTGGCCCAGGAGAAGGGCGGAGTTCAGGAGGCGGAGAGGCGCGGCGCGGCGAGCAGGGCCCTCTTGCTCCGGAGTGAAGTCCGCTTCCTTGCGGGGAGGGGAGTTGCGAGGGCGACGGCAGCAGCAGCAGCAGCAGCAGAGAGTGACCTGGGACGGTGGGTGAGCCTGGAGAAAAAGGAGTGAAGAATAAGTTTCTTTTAGGGGCCTTGCGAGCCCCACCCGCGCTAGCAAGGCGGGAAGTTTAGGGCGCCGCTTTTGTCAGTCTCGCCTGCTTTGTTTGGTAGGAACTCGGCTCTCTCCCCGCCCAGGGTTTAATAAAAGGGCGCGAAACCCGGCTGAAGGGTCCCCGGCCCCGCTGCTCGATTCTCTTTGTCAGGCAACTAGTCCCTGAATCCCCTCGGATATATTTGCCGGGTTGAGGCCTTTCATTGCCACCAGCTTAGTGGCGGTGAGCGCAGGGATCTCTTCGTGGCTTTTCTCATCGCGGTGGACTTTGGGTCGTACTTTCCCCCTCCTTTTAAAACCTAATCTGGAATTGCAGACCCTAGTTCTGTAATCAGTCACCACTGAGATTCTTGTTAGTTTGTTATGAACCTGCAGTCGTCATAAACTGCTGTTAAGATATTGTAAGAATCTGGATTACTGTATCAAAGTGCTTTGTGTATGTTCCTCAAAAGCACTAATTAGAATTTATGCTGTAACCCACTGTAACAGGATTGGTGTGTGTGTGTGTGTGTGTGTGTGTGTGTGTGTGTGTGTAAAAGTGTAAACTTTTATCATTTTACTAGTCCTGCCCCCCCAAAGTAATTAAAGCATGCAGCTGATGAAAATGTAGTGATTGAAATGTGGGTGACTATAAGTGATTATTTGCCAAGCGGTCCCTGCTCCTGCCAACCTAGCAGTTCGAAAGCACGTCAAAGTGCAAGTAGATAAATAGGTACCACTCCGGCGGGAAGGTAAACGGCGTTTCCGTGCGCTGCTCTGGTTCACCAGAAGCGGCTTAGTCATGCTGGCCACATGACCCGGAAGCTGTACACCGGCTCCCTCGGCCAATAAAGCAAGATGAGTGCCGCAACCCCAGAGTCGGCCATGACTGGACCTAATGGTCAGGGGTCCCTTTACCTAATTCACAGTGGAGTAAGAAAGTAAGTAGTATTGTTGTGCCCAAGTGGTGGAGGCAGACCCAGCTCCAGGTTTTTGTCCCTACCTACTTATTTCTACTGTCCTTCCCTTTCTCCCTATGGCTGTCCTCGTTCTTTCTTCATGGACCATCTTGCATGCTTTCTCTTGCATGCCACCCACTCGTGTGGTTCTCTTCCTCCACCTTTCACTCAGTCCTTTTATGCTCGTCTGCCTCAGCTATTCCCCCCAGTTGTGTTGCCTGCCAGCGGCATTTGGAAGCCACTGGGGCTGCTGCAGCCACCCCACTTTCTTGCCAGCTGAGGCTCCTGGGTTCCCTGCCAGGGCAGATCTGCTGCTTCACAGCCCCTGCAGGTGATGTCGGGAACCAGTGCTGAGACCCACAGCAGCCTTTCATTGTCCCCATTATCTGTTCAGGCTTTGGGATTGTCCAGAGCAGCAGACTATTTACTGGACATGATGAGTTAGGGTAATGCTTGCAGTTGAACATAGCTGGGATTTGACAAACTAGCTGTCACTGGCTATAGCCCCATGGTTTGCCTGGAATAGATGACTGCCTTTCTGTCCTGGAAAGCGATGACGTTGGTAGGATAGGCAGGGTTTTCGCAGAATACAAGATCTGGTAGCTGAATTATGGACACACTCTGAGTCACATGAAGATGAATGGTAGTGTAATGAACAAAGCTGCTTGCTATTATTAATGATTTTGTAAGTACTCGTATGTCAACAACAGGTTTTGCGTCAGGACCAAATGCTTCTGTTCTAGCTAGCACTTCTTCAGTTTCAGCCACCATGAGAGTCGGAGGTGCAGATAAATGGAAAAGCTACAACCTTGACTCCTTGATTGAATGCTGCCCTTGTGGATAACATTGGAAAACAGGTGCCCTGACTAGACTAGATATCTACCATTGTCATCTTTTTGTATATAGATAACGTGGCCCATAAAATCGATATCCTATGACATAAGATTAAGAGCTGTTCTGATGTCATGCTGTCTTTCCTGGGAGTGCTTTGGGAAGAATTTCTCTTAGAATAATGTTATGGAAAGCATTATGTTGGAACTGGAAAACAAGTATTATTACCATCATTTTAATGTTTCCCATGAGTATTCCATGCAAGTTATTCTAAAAATGTTTGTCTGTAAAGGCCCTGAGACCTCCAGAATTCGAGGGAAGTTTGAACCAGTTGATTGCTGTGCCTGTTGTCTAGAATAGGAGGGAAGTAACAATGAGAGCTGAAGGACAGAAGCAAAACATATTGGGTTTGTTGGACAGTCTGTAATTAAAATATACTGTGCACAAATGTGTGCCTGAAGAAAATTAATAATAATAATGCTAAAGTGTTTAATGTTGTCATAGATCCTAAAACTAATGCTGAAGGGCCTCTTAGCAATATCTGCTGACCCCAGCCAGTAAGTTGGCAGGGTGGTGGTATGCAGCCCAACAGGAGTTGGCCCTGATGTCGTCTGTGCCTGCCTCCCTCCCTCTCTTCCTCCTCACAGTGCAGGACAGATGGTGTCTTTGCAAAATTGATTCCATGCTCTCACCTGATTCTCAGCCCGAGGAGCAATAACAGAGGTGGCTGTGGAAGGTGCAGTGAGCAGAACGATTCTTGTCACTCCTCAGAGAAGGAAGAGATGTGGTTGTGGCAAGGGACTCCCATCAGAGGGGGACAGAGGCAACAGTGTTTGGAGGAATGTTTCATTGTTTCAGTTGTCTCTACACGAATGCACAGAGAATGGGAAGCAAGCAAGAAGAACTTGCATTCCTGAAACCTGGTGGGATGATAGTCATGAATGGGATGTAGAAACGGAGAGGTACAACGTGTTCCAAAGGAACAGATCAAACAGGAACAGGCAGTTCCTTTTCTTTCACCTTGATTCTCCCTACAGCTTTTGTGATCCTTTTCGATTTTCTGCCCTAAGCTGTTGTCTGATCACTGCTTTCAAGAGATTAAGTCTGCAATCCTCAACAAGCCCCACTGAACACAGTGTGGGACTTACTTCTGAGTAAACAAACAAGATTGCACTATGTGGCTATGCTTCAGGGATGGTGGAAGCAAAACCTGTGATCTGGACTTTTGTGTTTTCCTGTCAAGTGGTGTTGTATTAAACAGGCTATATAAATGTCAATTGTTATTATTAATCTCTTTCCTACATTAGAAGATTTAATGGACATACTGTTTTCCGTAGTGACACCATTGTCACAATCACTTCTGCTGTTTTAATTAGAGGTGGCAACAGTGGCAGTCAGATGTTTAATTACATTTTGTAAAGGTGACTAGAATTAACTCATAAAATTAGCGGCTAATGCAGTGCACACAAAGTTGACCGCTTTTGACCATAGTTAGGAAGAAGAAAATAGTGGTCACAAAGTCCATTAGAGAAGAAAAATCCAGGATGAGTGCTGTGCTAGAGAGGAAAATGGAATAAGAAGCCATTTGAAGGAACTGAATCAATTTGTTTCATTATCTGATTCAGTGCAGATCTTCTGGCTGGCTCTTAATTTTTTCAAATGACTCCATGTTTGGAAACCTAACATGCTGTCCCAAATAGTATTGCCTACAGGAATTAAATATTAAACCACAAGCAAATAATTCATTGTTTGTTCAAATTGTACTATCTCAGTCCGGCTAAGAATTCAGAGAAAAGTTTCTAACTTATCTTAGGAGGAAATAAATTTGTGCCATCTTGATTTCTATAGCCAAATATATTTTCACTCTGAGTGTTACCATTTCTTTGCTACTTCTGGTTCATTTGGTTGTTAAATGGATGCAGTCCTGCTAAAGAGAACCTTCAAGTACTCTGGCTAAACCAGATCTGGGACTCATTGTCTCTCTTCCCAGTCAAAAGGAACTCTGCAGTGTTTGAGAGAGTGAAATGTTTCAGTTTATGACAAAGCGTGAAATGTGATATATCTCTTCGCAGCTGGTGTCCTTTCTGCCATTCCACTGCAATCCTACAAAAACTTGGGAAGATTGTAGGATTGAGTTCCCTTGAACTCAGTGGGACTTACATTTGAGTAGATATGTTTAGCCTACTTTCTGCTGAATATTACTCCAGAATTGCACAGCTTGTGACTTAAATCAAGCCAAATATAATCTAACAAATAGGATGCAGAAGAAGGAATTTCAGTTGTAGCTTAGCCTATCTGCTGAAAATACCCTCTTGTCTACAACTATTAGAGTTGCAGGAGTCCTGTCTTTGGTATCTGGACATCCTACCAATATCCCCCTTGTTTTTGCAGTCCCAGCAAAAAGGGAGTTATTTAATTTACTATAAGGGAGATGAGAACATAGGAAGCTGCATATAATGAGGAAGACCGATTTTCCAACTAGCTCAATGCCGTTAACTCTGATTTCCAATGGCTCTCTGGGTTTTCAGATCGGAATCTTTCTCAACCCTACCTGGAGATGCAAGAAATTGAACCTGGCACTTTCTGCAGGTTCTGTACCATTCGGTTTCAGCCTTTCCTCTGCTTAGAACGACTTTGGATTTAGGGAAACTCTCTGATAAGGTTATGTCCCTGTGGCTCAGAATAAATAGAAACAGCAAGCCATGTTGTTGTTTTGCAACCTTTATAGTTGTTGTTGTTTTGCAACCTTTATAGAAATCTCTGGAAAGAATTGCTTGATCCAGTAATCGTTTTGTATCCTAGAAGGATATGTGTACTTTATGTTTTCCCCAACCTTTCTTTCTGATACAAATAAGTTTATTACAGAAACTGTTGCAAAATTCCTCTTGAGAGCAAGAAAGATGCAAGCTACATCTGCATCCAAATAAATGTAACAACTTCGTCTTACCCATCAATAGATTTTTTGATCCTGTATCTCATTTGTGCATGTTAACAGTTGCAGAAGTTCTATTTGGAGGTCTGTTGGCTGGTTGAATAAATGTGTTGACAGGTTGACTTTACCCCATTTCGGGGGCTCCATTTGGGTTTGTTTAATGTGATGAGCATCTTGCTCATTCACATGCCACTCAAAAGTTCCTACTTTACCCCCTTCCCTTCTCCTGGCTGTGCTGTGGCAGGAGCAACAAACCACAAACTTTGACTTGTTGATGTCATCCAATTGCAGCTTGTGGTTTGTTTGGTGGGGGAGCCTGGGTTTGGGCATCATGACAAGGCTTGTAGTTTGGTCATGGTGCGGTTCTGGCAGGAGTAAGAAGCAGGGAGTTCTGAGAAGGCCTGCAAATTTGGATTGGCTTTAAGGAGAGACAGAGAGAAATTAGAACTATGGGAGTACAGGCAGCCCCCTACTTATGCGGAGGTTACTTTCTGAACCTCCGTGAGCATAAGTGAAATCACGTAAAGTAGAGAGCACCCCACTTTAATAGGGATGGTGTGCAGGGAGAAGAGAGAGGGAAACTCACTTGCTGCCGGGGCTGCTGTCTGAAAGTTGCTCAGGGCTACTGCTCAGCCTGTCCCAAGTCTTCCCTCGCTCAGGCCACTGCCTGGCATGCCTTCCCTCACTGCAGAGCAGCCCAGTATGCCTTCCCTTGCTCACTTCCAAGCAGCAGCCCCAAGTGAAATAACACCTGTCTGTCTGTCTGTCTGTCTGTCTGTCTAATGATGACCTGCTTAAACATGGTTGCACACAAGTGGAATGTGTATAAGTGCGGGGGTGCTGCTGCTGAAAAACATAGTGGCATTAAGTAAGGAGCTCTAATTGACAGCACCATCCTATATATGCCTGCACAGAAGAAAATCCCACTGAATTCAGTGGGGCTTACTCCCAGGCAAGTAGCTATAGGGTTGCAGTCCTAATCTTACAAGGGACACAGTTTCTGTTCCCCACCCTCACCCCCTACCTGAGCAAGTTGGCCTTTAAAAAAAAAGGTTATTTTGGGTTTTATTAAAACAGGTTTCTGGATGAATACTTACCTCTTCTATTGCATGCTTGCTTTCTTTTTTTTTAAAAAATGGTGTGGGTGTGTAGACTTAAGCAATACTTCCTCTATCCCTTACATTGTTTTAAAAAGATTTTATTTGACAGTGAATGTCCCACATCACCTCAGCAGTGGGAAGCATGTGTTTTGTTGGCTTGCCTCTAAAACAGCAAATAGTCTTACTTATTGGGGGGGGGGGGACGTATTATCCTTCAGCAACACTCTCCCACCATTAGGATGAAACCATAATCATGCAATTGCTCCAGAATTTTGCTAGTGGGGTTGTACTTCTGCTAGTTAAGCTGCTGCCCATGGTACTTTTAAAAAATATAATGTCTCCATGAGCTCGCAGGTCCTTGTTTTGTTTGAACTTAAAGTATTTTAAAATGAAGCAATTTTAAAATTAAGCAATTTCTCGCAATATGACTTTTCCATTCCACAGTTTGCATTTCACTGCTTTTCACACCTTTCCTAACATACTGATATGTACAGTAAAGTTCCACTGTGAAATTTCTTCGAGTCATTTCAGTTTTTTGCAGGTCTTATTAAATGTCAGTGACAGAGCGCCATGCCTGCCATTAAAGTATTTACTGCTGTCTCTAAGAAATAACAGTTCTAAACCAAGATACAATACTTTGCATAGACATGCTTTTTGCACGACTATGTAAATAACTCTGTGAAAGTACCGGGGGTGGTGGTGGGGCGGGATTGAGGACAACTCATCTTTCCAAAAGAGCAAGCTGCAATTATCTCTCCACCCCATAGAAGGCAACAAATAGCTACTGGGACATGCCTGTACTGAGCATTTTGGGTCATAGCAATCTGGATTTAGCATTGTTGTTCTGCATCGCATTTACAATAAAATGCATTTTTAATATGCCACTATAGAGAGCCTGGACTAACAGCATTAAAATGCGCTTGCCAAGCTGAAATGACTGCAGAGACTGTGTGTGCAATTATTATAGTACAGCAATAAGAGATTACTATAGGAAATTAACCTAGGGAGTGTACTCCTTACAAAAGTATTATAATGACTCGGTGCTGATATTCACACTACTCCACTGGCACAAACCTTATTTGGTAGAGAGATGTTTGCGCTGCTATAATAATTTGAGGAACCATTCTAATCTCATTGGAAATTAATACCCCTGTTTGAAAATAAAAAGTACTGTCACCTAAGTGTTTTGCCTGTGGGCATGGTTCTGGATTATATTTATAATTGATTGTTAAACTATGGTGACTGATCAGTTGTTTGTGGTGTGCTTTCAGGTTGATTCTGTCTGTGGGGTTTTCTAGATCAGAGTGTTAACTTGCCAAATTAGTCTTGTCGGATGAATCTAGCAAAGAATACCAGCTTCTCTTCTTCCTTTGCTGCTAACTATGTAGGGCCTACATATTTAGAGCAGCTTCGTGGGAATAGAAAGGAATATAGCTTCAATTTCAAAATCTTTTAGTAGCCTCCTATGTGGCGGCTGGAACATAAGAAAATGTGATCTGCAAAGAACTATCTAGCCAGAAGAGAAGTGTTAGAAACTGAGATATAGAAGCAAATGGCTCCTTAAAACAAGGTTGCAGTTTCCAAAACAGAATATGCAATTGTCATTTTGAGGCAAGACTTTTATTTTTCAAATGATGGACAGGCTGCGGTTGATTATCAGTTAAACGTCTGGCTAGTTCAGATGACAACCTTGAGCTAAGTTAAGAAGTTTGAGAACTGAAAGAAAAAAGGTTGCTTTATCCAGGGACTGTCCACATATATATTAGCCTATTCCAACCTCCTTTTCTTAATGGTGACACGAATATTCTTCACAACCGTGAGCGGGGCAGTGGAGTGGGGTAAGCGAATACAAGCTACAACCATTCACTGTTATGTTGTTCACTGCTCCTGCTGAGACTGCACAGAGAAAGCATTTTGGTTCCTGAAATCCTTTCTGATTGTGCAGATAAAATATAGCTGATAGAAATCTACAGGTTGTGGCGTTAGTGTGAGAAAACAGTCAAGATCCAGTGTTCCCCAGGCATGAACCTCCAGGTGGTGGTGATGTCAGGTGCCATCTTAGTGCCTAGGCATCTTCACGTGGTTGCAAGTGGCTGATAGCCAGGTGCAAAATGTGCCTGACGTCCGGCTAATTTCAAACACTGTAGAAGAGTGGTCTGCAGTGCAATCGAGTTTAAAAAAAAACACTGGAATAGACTGATCTATGACAGGTTGGTCAGAACAAATGGATCATTCTTTGGGGGCAGTAGTTTGGATTATATGTCCTTTTGTTCCCTTCCAAATCTATGCTTCTACGTTTTTCTCCAGTAACGTACACAATCAAGCTTTGTGCCAAGAAGAAGTTGGATGTGCTTGCATCAGTATTCTTAAGTTACCTTACATACAATTTCTCATGTTCAAGTATGACTCTCTTGACAAAAAAGGAACGTGAGTATTGGCTTAGGGTCAGGTTTTTTTGATCCCTTATCTGCTGTGTACGTGTTTAATTATAGGAAAAATCCATAGGAAGCTCAATGGAATTTTGGGTCAAGTCAGAACTACAGAATGTAGGGGTGTGTGTGGAGGTTTCACACTTGGGCTGATTCATATGTTATGTTCAGCTACTGATATTTGCATTTGACAGTATGTGCAAGTAAACAACCCACAAAGATGGTGCAACATATGAGAAACGGTGCATATGTAATGATGCAAACTTGACTTCTGAAGCAGGATGAGATCCAGTGGCAGAAATCAGTGCTCAAGGCAAATTGCGGAAGTTCTTACACATGAGTTAAGCTGTTTACTCAAGACATACAAGCGCCCACCAGTTGCTAGAAGTACTGTGAATCTCCCAAACCGAAATAGTGGGGCAGCTGTTGACTTCATTGTTACAGAAAACTAGATGAAAAACACACACACCTTGGTGGTTAAAATGTTTTTGTGCTGTGTAGTTTTATCAGAGATGAAAAGGAGCCATGCAGAATAAGTTATGTTGAGCTCAGCATATTGTTTAAATCTAATTAACTCCCCAGTTTTTAAAAAAATGAGAACATCTCTTTTAAGTGACGAAAGCCAGTTGTGTTATGCAATCACATTAACCTTTCTTTCCTTCTTTGCCTTGACTGTAAGCATGGGTAGGATCACTGAATTTTCACCAGAACTACAGCCTGCTCTAACAGAATGTTAGCTCCCATCAAAAGTAGTCAATTAATAGCCAGGGCAGACAGCTCAAATTTAATCAGAATGTACAGGAGATGTATTTTGCTTTTAATGCTTTGCACTAGAGAAATCCCCTTGGAAATCTTGTTGATTGTAAGCACTGTTTGTGACCTAACTTCTGTCTGCTCCTGGACCCAGGAATCTGCGCTAGCAAAGCAATATTTCTTTACCTTCAATAAACAAATCAGTACTTTGACCCACATATTGCAAGGGAGACAGAAGCTTAAATCCCTTGAGAAAGGGTTGAAGGAGTGTGCATGTTTAGCAACAGAAGGGCTGATTAATAGTAGCCATCTTCAAATATTTGTTTCTGTTGCTCCAGAGGATAGGGCCTAAACAAGTGTGTTCAAATTACAAGAAAGGAAATTTTCACCAGGCATTAGGAAGAACTTTCTGGTGGCGTTCGCTGTTCAGCAATGAACAGATTGCCTCCGAAGAAGGTGATAGACTCTACTTTGTTAGACATTTTAAAGCAGAGGTTGGAAGGCTACCCATATTAGGAATGGTGTAGCAACAGATTCCCTTCCTTAGCAGTGATTTGGACTAGAGCACCTTTTGAGACGGGACACTGGTGGCGCTGTGGGTTAAACCACAGAGCCTAGGGCTTGCTGATCAGAAGGTCGGCAGTTCGAATCCCCGTTGCCCAGTCTCTGCTCCTGCCAACCTAGCAGTTCAAAAGCACGTCAGAGTGCAAGTAGATAAATAGGTACTGCTCCAGCAGGAAGGTAAACTGCGTTTCTGTGCGCTGCTCTGGTTCGCCAGAAGCGGCTTAGTCATGCTGGCCACATGACCCAGAAGCTGTACACCGGCTCCTACGGCCAATAAAGCGAGATGAGTGCCGCAACCCCAGAGTCGGCCACGACTGGACCTAATGGTCAGGTGTCCCTTTACCTTTACCTTTTGAGAGCCCTTCCAATTAAGACTCCAATCCCTTTTTCATTCTATCCTCCAGTGATATTTTCCTTTAGAAGAGGACAGGCACATCTGCCCTTTCATTCCCAAGAAAAGCATTTCCCCTCCTGACATAGATAAGCCATGCAGTATTGTATGATTCTATGCAAGAGATAAATGCAGTGGCAAATCGGCAGGTGTTCTTTCTGCATGAGGTGAGGTTTCGCAGAAAACAGCTGAACCATTCACTGTCTGCTGGGTGACATGGACTCCGTTTGCTTATTTGCTGGTGCTTTATATTTATAGTGGTACACTGTGGGTAGGTCATCCTATGGCGCTATCGAAGGGTGCCAATTTGATGCTTTGATTCTCTGCAGCCCTAAAAATGGGCCTGCTGGAGAAACGAGCCTCTTGGGCTCTTTGCCCTCTTGACTCCAGCTTATCTGTTGCATTCTCAGAGGGAAGGGGAACCACAGACTATCTGCTTGGAGGGCTTTTTACCAGTAACAAACCAATGTTTATGGTATTATGCGCTAAAAGGCAGACAGGAAAGGCTTCTGTTTAATCAATAATGTATGCTCCAGTTAGTCTTATCCTCTGGACATCATTAAACATGTATTTTGTTTCATAACTGATGATTTTGGCTGACTGGAGTTTATAACTAGATATCCTCAAGCCTTTGCATCCACCATCAGGCAGATCTGAATTGAGCTAGGCAGTCAGCTATGTTTAGTGTTAATGTGGAAAGTAAACTTAAAAATAAGTGAGAGTTGGGAGTTAATTATAAATAGTAGAAGTGGAGTGTATGCAAGAGCAGACCTCATGCCTCTGAACACAGTCAGACAGCAGCAGCAAGGTTTGATGTTTAAATGTTGTAGCCCACTGTGGAGGAGCTTTACTAGTAAGCTTAGAAACTTTGTGTATTAAAAATCAAATTAAACCACACTACATTTTGTTTAAATGGTAAGGAAATGTACGTTCAAGGTTTACTTAATAATGTTAATTGGCAATGGAGCAGTATCACTTAATAAATGCGCTCCATTAAACAGATCCGCCATAATGTCTCACCAGCTTGGAAAGATTTCCTTGGCATACAGCGCTGATTCTTAGGCTTGCAGTCCGACTCTGATTACAGTGGTACCCCAGGTTACATACGCTTCAGGTTACATACGCTTCAGGTTACAGACTCCGCTAACCCAGAAATAGTGCTTCAGGTTAAGAACTTTGCTTCAGGATGAGAACAGAAATCGTGCTCCGGCGGCACGGCAGCAGTGGGAAGCCCCATTAGCTAAAGTGGTGCTTCAGGTTAAGAACAGTTTCAGGTTAAGTACGGACCTCTGGAACGAATTAAGTACTTAACCTGAGGTACCACTGTATTTAGGAATAAGTTGCATGGCACTTGGTGGGACCTACTTACAATTAAACATGTGGGATCAGGCTCTTAGTGATAAATGATATTTGGGAGACAAAGTGAAAGAACCAGGCAATTACCAACTTTTTTTGGCTTATGGCTGAGAAAGCCAATGACATTAACAGTTGATAGGGAGTACTGAATGAACGGACGTTGCTGTTTATTTAATTATTTAAGCCCTTGACTTTTTAGAACTCTGGAATAAATTGCAATAATGTTTTCCTTTAAATCCATTATTAATTCTGCGATATGTTTCATTTCTAATGAAAAGAAGATCCGCCTTTGGTGCTAAGGAAGCCTTGATACGCATCTGTCAGAAAGGTTTGTGCAAGTTCAACAAATCTGCATACAGACATTTGTTTTGCATAATTTATGGTGCTTCCATGATACGCACTAGTATCCAAAACTCAGTTGTGTCCTAAAAGCAACAGCATCTGTCTTGGAAAAGTCTGCTGCACTGAAGGCTCTCTGTAAGTTCATACTCTCCTTAATTATTCCTATCTCTTTTTTTTTTCTGAGTTGCACAGATTTTCCTTCTCATCCTTGATGACAGCTTGCCTAACACAATGGCATATTGATGTATTTTCCCCCCTTCACTTAGAAATGCAAGGTCTCTAATACTCTGGCATCCTTTTCTGTATTCCCAATCTCTTTTCTTGCGGTTGCATTCCCACTTGGGTAGTCCTGCTGTTGCAAGGCCAACTACTTAGGCTTTACTGAATCTTTAAGGACTTGTGGTTCACTTGATTGTACAATAAGCAGTTATAGCAGTTCAGTGTGAGCCTCCCATAGGGCTTTGAATCGAAGCAAGAAAAATGTAACTAAAATTCTGGAGAAAAGCCAGTATTTCATCCTCACGATTTCTAAACACTCCCCCTCCCGGTCAGCACTATACACTGGTTGTTTTCATGCTCTAGCAAGAGCGAAGATGTTAAGATTGCTTCGTATTTTTCTCCTCTCCCTTGTACCACGGAAACAGCCAGCAAGTACTTTCAGTATCAGGACAGAGGTATAGGCAATAATTTAAAAGGAATTCGCCTTACCTAGATTCACTTATTTTATCAGCTATTCTCTGTACCGATGTCTTGCTTGTGCTTCACTATCCCCAAAGTACCCCAAAGCCTGACAAACTATTCTGAAACTGTGTTTGGGACTATAAAGCTACAGACTTGGAGGTGGGTGGGGAGAGGAAGTCCATATATACAGACTTAGTAATGTTTGAACTGACTGCAAAACAAAAAGGCTCGTCATCCAGTTTTGGTGACAAGTCCTCACAAAAAGCCTTGAGTTTTGCTTTGACTCATCAGTGTGCATTAGTTTGTACACTGATAAAAAGATTTGGCCAGCATTATAACTACATTACATAGATTGGATGACTCTTTTAAGAATGTTTAGTAAGTATCTTCAGATGGAAGGACAAGCTATGCCAGCCAATCTTGAGTTTCTTCTAAAGTATCCTTGTTCATTTTGTGTAGCCTGCTCTCTCTCTTTTTAAAGGATTTCTTTTATTGAAAGATTTTCATAGACATTCATACAACATCTCTGTTCTCAGTTCATAGAGTCCTTTCTATAGGTCAGTTACATTTGGTGTGAGACACTGCTGTCATAGACATCAAAAATGGCAAACCCATACCAACACCAGAAATAAAAGACAAATTAGGGGACATCCAAATACCTTGGCTGACCCATCACCAACAGCGCATCTTCTTAATAACCCAACAGTAAAAACAGCAGCAACTACTAGGCCTCTGACCACCTTTGAAAAACTTCTCCTGACATCAGAGGGACATAGCAAGGGGATGGTATTCACAATATACAAAATATTGCTCCAAGGCATTACAAAATCCCTCACCACAATCAAAGATTACGAAATAAACCCTACCCAATGGTCTAAACCACCCTTCTCAGCCAAAAGAAGGGAACTCACATCGAAACTAGTTTAGTCTGCTCTTTGATGCATGGAGCAAAATTGGTGTAAGGGTCTTTAACATCTTTCTATCTATTTTCCTAGAATACGCCTTTTTAAAGATGCCTTCGCTGAAGGGTAAAGTCCAGACTGTTTTGGGCCTTGTTGAGCCTAGCCAGCTTGGTTATACGATGACCCACGAGCACTTGACAATGGATTATACTTGCTGTTACTACCCACCTCCTTCAGGCCAAGAAGCACTCTCTGAAACATCCATTGAGATGAAGAACTTGTTTTGGCTGAAACAGAATCCCTACAGCCACAAAGAGAACCTCCTCCTGCATCAAGAAACAAGTGCTGTGAAGGAAGAACTGCTGCAGTTCAAAGCTGCAGGTGGTGGGACCATAGTGGAAAATACAACCACAGGGATAAGGAGAGACATGAAGACCCTAAAGCAGCTTGCGGAAGAAACTGGTGTCCATATTATTGCTGGTGCTGGCTTTTATGTTGGTGCCACTCATTCTCCTGAAACACGAGCGATGTCTGTGGAGCAGGTGGGTCTCAAAACGTGCTGAAAGTTGGGCGCTCTTATTGGCAACCTCTGAATACCTCAAGATATGTTGTTTGCCCTTAACATGATTAAAATAGGAAGCCTTGAAATTGGGAATTAGGTGTGTGTGTGCATAATACACTGGGTTGGATACAGAGGAATTCACCTCTATGGTAGAAGAGCTTTTCTTGACAAGGCAAGATCCTTCCATGAGAAAATGAACTGAAAACCAGTGGGTTTGCTGCTGTTATCACAGTGCATCCTGCAATCTCATGCACAGTATCTTAGGATGCATGTGTGAGCTAAGTTTCTGTTGCCCGCACCCTTTGGTGATGGTTTGCCATTTTTCAATGCCATCCTTGGTGAGGTGTGTCTATTGACTTTCAGGAGAAATATAAAAACATTCCCGCTCACTCAGGCATTTGAAGGCCGAAAGATACTGACCATGGCAATCTTGAAATTAGGAACGACATTGTTTTACTTAAGTTTTGATACTATGCAGCACAGAGAGTTTTAACTTAAAAGAATGTTTATTTTCTACAGCTGACAGAGGTTATAGTTAATGAAATTCTCCATGGAGCTGATGGAACCGACATAAAGTGTGGGGTCATAGGAGAAGTTGGCTGCTCGTGGCCTCTGACAGAAAGTGAAAACAAAGTACTACAAGCAACAGCACATGCTCAGTCGCAGCTTGGCTGCCCTGTCATCATCCACCCTGGCAGGAATAGTGATTCACCTTTCCAGATCATTCGAATTTTGCAGGAAGCTGGAGCTGATACCTCAAAAACCGTCATGTCTCACATGGACAGGTGAATGGGCCACTCTGGTGTTGGATTGTTTGCAAATATTTCTGCTTCTAGACCAGGGGTTGTCAACCTGGTTCCTACTGCCTACTAGTGGGCGTTTCAGGATTCTAGGTGGGCGGTAGGGGGTTCTACAGCACAAGCTGAATCCTCTTTCCATCGAGCACTGGTGGGTGATAAGGAAATTTTACCATCAAGAAAGATGCATTCGTGGGCGGTGGGTATAAAAAGGTTGACTGCCCCTGTTCTGGACAGTGGAAGTTTTAAGAAACCCACAGCAGGTTGAATCTAATCAGGTTTTATCAGTGTTCTGATACTTCATTACAGCAAGCATTGTAACAGTTCCAGCATTTGCAGTACTCAAAATATGGCAATTGCAGGGAATACTTTAATGCAGATACATACCATACTGCCAGACTGAAACTCTAGTGAAGTTGGTGACAATCGTCAAAGTGGCATGTATGTGCAAAACTGCTTAGACCTGCTGACATCTACAAATCTTTAATTCCAAAATGCCGGCAGTCTAAATGGTTTGTAGATCTCAGTGCTCATTAGAATAAGAGTGTCTGTTCATGTTGGGGAGTCGCTCCTTGAGCACCTAAATAAATCATCACATTTTCAAAGTCTGCTTTGCGTTTATCAAGACCCATTTATGTCAGAGAAACGTTCAGCACCATAACTAAGATATTGTGCTAAGATACAACACTTATAACAGTGTTTGAACTACAGTGGTACCTCGGGTTAAGTACTTAATTCGTTCCAGAGGTCCGTTCTTAACCTGAAACTGTTCTTAACCTGAAGCACCACTTTAGCTAATGGGGCCTCCTGCTGCTGCCACGCCGCTGGAGCACTATTTCTGTTCTCATCCTGAAGCAAAGTTCTTAACCCAAGGTACTATTTCTGGGTTAGCGGCGTCTGTAACCTGAAGCATATGTAACATGAAGCGTATGTAACCCAAGGTACCACTGTATATGAAGTTTCACAACCCCCTTCAAAACTTATTAGAACATCAATGTCATATCACTGTCACTTCTCCAACTTCATTGGGTAATCCCTGTCTGGCTCTTAAACCTCTTTAGTTGCTGCTGCCCCCCCCCCAGCTTTGCACACTCCCAACACTTACTGCTAACTCCTCACATTCACAGGCGTACATTCAGTGACGCTCCTCCCTTTGGACTTCTGTGTTGTCCTTTCTCTCTCTAGTGCAAATAGAGGTTCTTCAAATGGGGTATTCTGCTAAGTTTTTATCAGAACAGACCTATTTATTTAATGGTACTAACTTAATGTCCATGAATATAACTGTCGTTTTAGGTAAATGCCACCTATCGTTTGAATTGGTTGCATTTTGTCAGCTAGCTCGTATAAAGTGGTACACCAAGACCCTCTGCAGTTTTCAGATAGTCCGCAAATAGAAGCTTGAGAACTGCAGATATGGACGGTGCTGAGCTTTTCGCACCAAAGGTTTGATTCTGTGTAAGATGAGCTTCCCATGTTCCTAACTGGTAGCTGGTTCAACCTGCTGCATAAAGGCCATCTGCCTTCCCCTCCAGTATGTGGCAACACTTGGCATGGACACATTGGAGAACTATGTATCTGCAGATCAGATAGCTTTAAATAGCCTGTTGCAGGATAAGAATGGATCTTCTGCTTTCTCCAGACTATGTTGCAAAAACAATAACCCCAAACCACAACAATTCTACACATCCTTAAATAGCTACATCACATCGCTTGAATCCTCTCCTGCTACAACTGCAAGATGTTACTGCTACCTCTGTAAACAAAAGTCACAGAACGTCCATGGAGAGCAAAGTAGTGGATGCTTCACGCCTTCAGTTAAAAAAACATGATCTGTGCTGCTAAGCCACATTTATATGACCTTGTGTGGTTGATGATTAGTTGGCAGATGACCATGTATTGATTAGCATTGCTGAAGGCTGGAAGCTATTTGTAGTCATATGACTTATCATTGAATTGTTGTGAGTGCTCTATAGCACACTATGTAAAATAATTTTCCCTGATCATACATGTATAATTTAAATGTGCTTTACATGAAACACAATGTATGTTACTACCTACATTTCCACTCATGCTTAGGCATTTATGAGAAAACGGAAGCCTAAATGATTTTTTTAAAATAAAAATAAAACACAAACTCTCTTCCAGATTGCAACTACTTTCTTGTCTGATTGCCTAGAATTAATTCTTGATTGCTTCAGGTAACCATGCCGGTTGCTATTGACAGGCCTAATTTAAATAATTCCCCAACTCTTTTAATATATATTCACACCTATACCTAGAAAAGCATATTCCTATGAACGTGATTTTAAAATTATAATAATACAAAATATTGCCACGGTACTACAGCGTATAAGTACATTTACATAGCAATTTTGGCTTCTAGTGTTGAGCTGTAAATGAAAGCCATACTACTTGCACACTACTTTGAAAGTCCATTGGATAAGAATCTCTGGTCCTGTGTAAACTGTGATTATTATTATTTTTAAACAAGATTTTTATTATTAATTACAGTTGGCAATAATGAGTGTCCTGCTGGTGCCAGTTGTGTTTGAACAAGAGCTTTCTCTCACTCGTTCCATCTGTTCCTTCTACTTAATCCTGCTGTTAAGTCACAATATTGAATTTGTGACATCAGTCATTTCCATAGCGACAGACTATGATGCAACCGAATTAAATGTTAATGGCTTTGTGGCATTAAGCAGAAGGAGCACCAAGGTAATGTAGGTGAGAATGATTCTTTTGAGTTTCACCCATACAGTATTTTTGGGTAGTCAGGCAAGAGAAGGAGAAAGGGTAGAAGAATGCAAATAGTTTGACAACACTCCACATCCAACACTTCATGGAGGGCAAAGGGCAAACCCTCCTTGTTTCCGCTCTGTCCGTTGCCAACATTTATGCCAAATGTACGCAGTAAATTATTGGCAATATATATACAGTGGTACCTCGGATTACATACGCTTCAGGTTACATACGCTTCAGGTTACAGACTCTGCTAACCCAGAAATAGTACCTCGGGTTAAGAACTTTGCTTCAGGATGAGAACAGAAATCGTGCTTTGGCGGTGCAGCGGCAGCAGGAGGCCCCATTAGCTAAAGTGGTGCTTCAGGTTAAAAAAAGTTTCAGGTTAAGAACAGACCTCCGGAACGAATTAAGTACTTAACCCGAGGTACCACTGTGTGTGTGTGTTTGTGTACGTACTTCTTGACATCACCTCAAGGTTTCATTAACCAGAAGGACAGGAAACAAAATATAACTACCATATGTTAGAAATGTACCCCCCATTTTTCAAAGGGGGTTTCCTTAGGTGGAGAAACCTCCTTCTGACTTCTTGGTGTAGATGTATCAGAAGAATTTAAAGATAAATTTCAGACAGGGAAACTGAAGGAAAATGCAAATGAGGCAATATCTGTCCTCGGTGATCTGCGGTAGTCCACCTTTATTAATTGGTGGACAACTTTGTTCACAAATAATTAAAGAAAAGCATGAGTTGAAATACATAATTATTTATTAAACATGTTTAAATATAAAATATTAATTGTATGGCTTTTCCCCAATGAAATATAAATAGCTTTGTTTCTAGGTTTGTTAGGAGGTATCTGCTTATTTTATGGAGATATTGATTGCTTTTATCACCTTAGGCTAAAAATAACCACAACTGGAAAGCTGGGGTGTGCATATGTTCTTTTTAACAAGCTTTCTGAATCTGGACTATTGCTAGCAATGCAGGCTATGTGAAACTTCACTTGCCCACAAACCTTTAGAAATGCCACCACTTTTTTTTTTAATGTCTTGAAGAAGACCAAACTAGTCTCTGGAATTAGGTCTGGAATATATTTAAAATTTATTAGCAACTTCCTCCCCAAGGTTGCCAAGGAATTCTAAGGGGGAGGGGAGAATCAGTGCAGTTTTGAAAGATTCAATCCACCTTGATTCAAAATGGCATCCAGCTGGATTCAAATATTGACTAAAAACTGCTCCTTGATCATGCAAAATTTGGGTAAGAGCTGTCCAAATTCACAGTGAACAAACAACAAACAACAATATATATAGTAGAGGATTTGGGGTGTGTTCTTATTCCTGAACGAAAAATCATTACAGGCGGGTTATAGGTTGCTATTTTTAACTTAGAGATATTGTGTGGCATTCAGCTAAGTTTTACTCAGAGCAGACACACTGTGATTGCATAAGAAGAGATTGCTGGATCAGGCCAGTGGCCCATTTAGTCCACTATCCTGTTCTGACAGTGGCCAACCAAATTAATGGACCTAACTTAGTTCTGTAGATTAATTTTAGCTTAGTTGAATACTACTGATAGACTCTGCTTCTTGTTTGAGAGACTGTACATTTTGTCTCTCTCCATTTTTGTTTTTAAACATATTGACATAGAATTCCACAACAAAGTCTATCCCTTCCAATAGTTCACAAAATGGAAAGATAAAATGTAATTTAATACAGTCCACTGTTTTGATAGTTATAAGGATAAATATGTTGTAGCTTGAAATGTTTTCAAATTTCAAGGCTTGGTGACAAATTAAACAAGGTTGTAATTCTACCTGAGACCTATTGGTTATGTATATGAATCCTTAAAAAAAAGTTTTCTCAGCAAAATGTTATGGTGGTGACGAGACTGGAAATACTCTGAACAAACATAAAATAGGAATATGGGGAGAAAGTTCAAGAAATTAATTTTATTTTAAGAAGTCTTTACAATTTCTTTGCTAATTGACTTTACACCATAAATGTTGCTGAAGAGTAAAAAATAAGTAAGAAATCAAACTATGATGACTAGCTAGTCTGTTGAAACCTGTATGTGTCAAAAAAATAATAATATTTGTAAGAATATCTGGGGTCAGAAACTCTGCAGTTATGTAATGTAGGCTGCAATTCTATTTACCTGGGAGTAAATCCCATTGAACTCAATGGGACTTGCATCAGAGCAGACATACAGGGTGAGTCCTTTAAAAGAGGCCCAGTGGATATAGAGTACACATGTTCCACAAGCCCTCTTTTAAAAGACTCACCCTGTATATGCTGGATTGTGCTGTGAAGCTGACTTCTAATGAATGAATCTGTTATGAATGAATATTTGCTGTGTTTGAAGGCTATTGTCAAATGAGGTTAAATGATTCAAATCAGCTATGAGAGAGAATTGCATTGAGCAAGTTTATAGTGTATACTGTGATTTGTACAGGACTATATTTGATGAGAAGAAACTGTTGGAGTTTGCTGAGCTTGGATGCTACTTAGAGTACGACCTCTTTGGAACAGAATTCATTTTGTACCAAATGAATCCTGATATTGATATGCCAAGTGACAATGAAAGAATTTTAAGGTATGTATTGCAATGTACAGACATGGAAACTTCTGCTGGAGATAGCAATGTTGTTAGTGTCCAGGTTTTGAAAGTACCACAAACTGAACCTGTGTGTAAGTTGCACTAGCATGGCATTTCAATGTGCCTGCCTTCCATGTATAGCTATTCTATTTAGTTTAACGTCTTAAATCACAAAGGTCCAGGGCAGACATAATACACAGTCACTAAGCATGGTTAAGAAATAAGAAGTGGAGAGCCCGTCCTCATTGCTTTTGCATTAAAATTGATCCTTCTCTTTCCCTGAGATCTTTCATCATAGACCAAACCAGGTGTTACAGCAGCACAATATTTATGTTCTGTAATTTCAATATCCTGTAGCAGTGATAGAGCCATTTAAATATTCACCCAGTGCTTTTCCAGCTGCATTGGCTCCCTGTGGAGTACAGGGTCAGATTTAAGGTGCTGGTTTTGACCTTTAAAGCCCTTCACGGCCTAGGACCCTCATACCTATGGGACCGCCTCTCCTGGTATGCCCCACGGAGGACCTTAAGGTCCATATATAGCAACACCCTAGAGGTCCCGGGCCCTAAGGAAGTTAGATTAGCCTCAACCAGAGCCAGGGCCTTCTCAACACTGGCTCCGGCCTGGTGGAATGCTCTGTCTCTTGAGACCAGGGCCCTGCAGGATCTGATCTCTTTCCACAGGGCCTGTAAGACAGAGTTGTTCCACCTGGCCATTGGCTTAGAATCAGTTTGATTCCCTCCCCCTCTTTCTTTTTCCTTTCTCCTCCTATGAAGAGATTACACCCTAATGTTTTAGTGTTGTGTTTTAATCTTTTAAATTGTATTTTAATCAACTTGTTTTTATTATTGGTTGTTAGCCACCCTGAGCCCAGTCTTGGCTGGGGAGGGCGGGGTATAAATAAAAAAATTATTATTATTATTTATTATTAAAGCACAGCTGTGGCATAAAGGGGGAATTCAAACTTCTGAGACCAGAAGTCCAGCCCCAACAGGAGACAATATATGGGGAGAAAGCATCTATAGGGGAAGGGTTCATCCAGAAGATATACCCTGTTTGATAAGAAATTGGCACAACCAGCATTGTAACAGAGGTTGTGACTCTCTTAAGCTTCCATTTTGACTTCATGGTTAAGGGTTAACGCCAGGCATAGGCAAACTTGGCCCTCCAGACGTTTTGGGACTACAACTCCCATCATTCCTGACCACTGGTCCTGTTAGCTAGGGATGATGGGAGTTGTAGTCCCAAAACATCTGGAGGGCCGAGTTTGCCTATGCCTGGTTAACGCTAATCAAGATCTTCCTTAACTATAGTTAGCAAATCAGCTTCAAAACTTGCTTATGATGAGTGAGCTTTAATCATGGTTAAGGTGACCACAGTCACAATCCTGAGTCCTGCTTAAGGCTGTACATGGAAGTGCAGGCAAAATGAGTGCAGAAGCAGAGGGAATGTGCAGTCCTGCAGCCGCCTCCTGATCTGCTAACCAGGGTTAGAAAACGGGATTCGTACATCTGCAGTAGACCTTCTTAATGTAGGAAGTCTGTTCCCCTCCCCTATGCTTACCTATCAATACTAAATTCACAACGTTACAAAAAGCAAAGCGAATCAAGATGGGACAGGAACAAACGTTTCCACAGAAGTTTCAACACAAAAGAAATACTGACACTCTGGCTGTTGACACATATTACTTACTATTTGGTTGTCAATACAAACCAGCTTCTTCTTTTTAGCTCTTATGTGTATGGAGACGCTGCTAAGAAAGCATGATTGCGCATCACAGAATAATAACACATTGCTTAAAATCCTGCCGCTCTCATTAGAAAATAAGTTAAGCTAGGTAAAACTGAACTTTGTTTCAGCTACTCCGTCAACCTGCCCTATACCGAGTTAAATTAACACACTGTGAAGTTGCTCCTAAAACCTCTGCTTCTTGACTAATCTGGAGCCAATTTTGTGATGAATGAAAGTGCTCCTTGGACAGATACGACTGGAAGTTATGCAGGTAGAAAGGCTATTATTATCAGTAATGCTTTTGCTATTGATTGTGGCAACAGTTCACAATACACCTCACCATGACAATTCCCTCATAATTCCTTCCCGAAACTGGCATTGAACAAAAGTAGCAGTAGGTTTTTATAGGGAGACAAGATTGCCTTTCACCCAGAACGATTTGCGCATTTATGCTAGAGATGCCATTAAACTTCTTTTTGTGCATTCAGTTTATTGTTGGTGAGCATGCTAGGAAAACTGGCAGGCTACTATTAATTCATAGTCAGCTCATGTTTGACTTGTATTCATCATAGTCATACAAATCAAGCTGACCTCTGTGTCTGGTTGTATAAACACGGGAGAGGGAAAGGTATTTTTCAGACTTCACTCATGTTCAGTTCCACTAACGCTGAATAAAAGATTTGTAAATATCCAGATTTGCATGTGCATCTTTAAATATGTCCCTTGAGACAGCATAGGATTGTATAGAGATTTTTTTTGGGGGGGGGAGTGTCTTACGATAACTTCTCAACATTTTATTATTGGAAATTATTACTGAAATATTCAAAAGTATGAGACTTCCGGGGTGGCGCCTCCGGAAAATGGCGGAATTCCCTTCGGACTGAAGGGAACCCGCTGCACGGAGGCTTGGGTCCTGCCGCTACGGCGCAGCGGGGACCCTCAAAACCACAGGCGGAAGAAGCCTGTGGACGTGGGACTCGGCGGGCACCGAGAGCGGGCTCGCCCCTGGTACAGGAGCCCGGTAACGGGCTCCGGAGTGGGAGGTGCGTGGTGCTGTGAGTCGACTGCTTCCTCCGTGCAGCAAAGCCGCACTGCCGTTATCGGAGAACGCTGCCTTTTTCCTGGACAATTTGGCATCTAAAATATCTATCCGTGAGTACCTGATCTTGGAAGAGTTGAACCACTTTTAAGACTGGTGAATAAACAAATAATATTGGACTTGAAATTGAACTTAATTGGGACTCGGAACGGGAAGGTCTAAACAGGAAGTCGCCTTCCGTTCTTTGTTACGTGAAGAAAGCAAAGACAAAATATACTAAAGCTTGAAAATTAAATTCTAAGAGAACTAGAATTCAACATCTAAGATTTTTGAACCCCCCCTTTGACTGCAGGAGAAGAAGGGGGTTGTATTTGGACTTTTCAATCCTGCGGAAGTGAGTTTAAAATAAAGCAATTTTCCACCCCCTGAACCAGGAGCGGGCTGTCAGAACTGACGTTTTGAAGTTTATCCAGCTCGACAGTTAGTTAAAAGAAGGGTAACATTTTGATTCTACTGTTGCCTCTTGAATTTGGAAGGGGGAATTTTGGATAAAGTGTTTCTGGAAAAAGAAAGATTGTTGCTGTTGCTTTTATTCCTTTAAAAAAAAAAAATTCCATCTAGTGGAATTTAGTGAAATTGCAACGCAGAGAGATTAAAAGAGAAGGACTATTGGACTATTGTCGTGGGAAAGAATTTTCTTCGACCTTGAAGGACAATGCTAGTACAAAGGCTTGAACAATTGTTCCTGGAAGGTTTTTCAAAACTAAGTGCCCAGCTGGACCAGATGCGTCAGGAGACGACCTTGATGATGGAAGTTACCAGAGCACAGCAGCAAACAAATGAAATTCAGTTAAAGGCTATACAAGCATATGAACCTGCTGTAGTGACGGAGGCTTCAGAGATGGAGGGACCTTTGGACGGGCAAGATCAGCCTTTGAACTTGATAAATGAACTTGGGACAAACCAGATTCGGAAAGATGAAATGTGGTCAGATTTGGAAATGGGGGATGGATCGACCCCCCTCCATATGGTTATTTGGACCTTCCGAGTCTAGTGATGGGCTATCAGAGGATTGGAGTAGCCGAAGTCTCCAAGCTTTGTGGAAATTTGAAGTGGTATTATTTGCTGTCTGGCTTGGGCAATGGGTTTGGGATGGACTTGCTGCAAAGGGTCAAAAGCATTTTCTTGCTGGAGCATCCACGACTGGAAAGGAATCATCAACAAGAGTGGCGAAAGGGGCAAGAAAGAGACTTGAGGGCCTCGGATACGAGACAACCAGGTTAAGGAGCCGGATTATCGAGGTTAAAAGGACTGACAATCCCGGGTCCAGGGAGGGGAGGTTGGAAGCTGACTGGACTGAATTTGACTTATTATTTTTTCCTTTTTATTTTTTAATATTGGGAATGCTTACAAATGTTTGAAGGATGTTGAATGAAATTACATGGCTTAAGTAAGGATTGGTAAATGATTCGTAAAGGTAATGATGCAAGAATTTGGTAAATATTGAATATAAGCTATGAGTCTTAAAGTTTTTATATGACAAGAGGGAAAATAGAATAAGGAAACGTAATGACAGATTGTTATGAAAAACAGAAAGGATTTGCTGTAAAAATTAAAAATTAAGAAACAAAAGAGGGGAGGAGGAGGAAGTCTAGAAAGGAAGTCAATAGAGATTGTAAAGGACTTTATATTTTTGTTTTTCTGTTTTTCTTTTTTTTTTCTTTGCGGCTGGGTTTTCTTTTCTTTTTTGTTTATGTACTATTTTTGTTTTTTGTATCCTCAAATTTTTTTGGAAATTTTTGTTGTTATTCTTTGAAAACTTAATAAATATCAATTATTAAAAAAAAATGAAATATTCAAAAGTATAGTTATGTTATGGTGAGTTTGGAGAGCAATTATGTGGAAAGAAAGTTGTTTTCTTTTAAAATCATTGCTGGCTTGCTTATTTATTAATCTGTCAATTCAAGGATGTTTGAGGTGGGTGAAGTGATTATGCTCTCGTAATACTGCATTCATAATAATATATTGCTGCTTATTAGCTCAGATGTGGCTGCAGCGATCATGTAAAGCTCAGCCTCACAGCAACATAGGCAACTCTTAATGCTTGTGATCAGATAATCTTGATTCATTCCACTATGATTACAGTGTTCATAATAACGAATAACTGAGTATCCCAAAACCACCCATGTCCAACTACAGAATTCTGCTCTCTGGACTGTGCTGTCCCATCAGTATTTCTGAATTACACCTGTTTTGCTAGTAGAACATTCAAAGCGCGGTGCTAATAAGAGATCCAGCTCTGTCATCTCATACACAGGATTTCAGGAAGCAAACTTTCTCATGTGAATAAGCCCTTGGCTGACTAGGTCTTGTTGCTTCATCACACCTGTATTTGGTCATAGGTTTATGTAGTCAGATCTAAGACAGAATACTCTTGGATGCCTATTCTTTATAGATTTCATGCATTGAGAGTGTGCAGAGTTCTGTTTGCTGGTATCTTGTGCATGGAATCGCCAAACCTCAGCCTTCATTCACAGGCATTGTAGGATTTTCAGGAGGTGGGTGGTGGCTGTCTGTGTTGCATTGCATTTCATCTTCAGTTTTCCTAGCTGTTAGACAACTTCCCTCCCCATTCAGCTGCCAGGCCTCAAATGCATACTTCTCCTTTTGTCTAGATGTTTCCCAGCCAAACTGATTTTTCACTTCCCTCACAGAAGCTGCATTATTTGAAAGCATTCTATAACTTGGATAAATATTCCATTATGTCACAACAACTCTGCCAATAGCTGGTGCCGAGGCAGGCAATTACCAAAGTGTTGGGCGAGTATCATTTTCAGCCAATTTATAGGCATAGCAGCTGTGTTTGCATATCATGCTAAACTATAGTTTAGCTCAACTAGCAGGGACAAGACACAGCAAGCCTCGGGATTGTGCAGTCTCCCTGTTCCTCCTCCCATGGAACCAGGACGAGGAGTTCAGAAGCTACTACTTCCACTTTTGATTATCTACAGCTTGCCATGTCATCTGCCATGTCCCTTGGACCCCAGACCTGTAGCCCATCTTAAACTGTGGTAAGTTTCAGACAAGCCACTTTCAGTAATGTTGGGTTGAAGACTGCTTATTTGAAACTGATCGCAGTTGTTGGTCCAAATGATATGACAAACAGCAGATAAGCAAAAACAGAAGCAAAAGTTTCCAAACTGTTCCTCCTCAGGAAGGAGGGAAATGTTAGTTTGTTACATTTCTTTTAAAACACACAAGACTAGGTCATTTAATTTAAAATAGTGTGAGTCTGTACCTGATAATTATTTCTGCATTACTATCAGATTAATATGAACTATACATTGACAGATGTGTATTGTCTGTATTTTTGCAGGGTTCGGATGTTGATTGATGAAGGCTGTGAAGACAGAGTTTTGCTTGCTCATGACGTGCACACAAAAAATAGGTTGAAGAAATATGGGGGTCATGGATATTCTCACATACTTGAAAACATAGTACCAAAAATGTTAATCAGAGGCATATCGCAAGAAAAGATTGATAAGCTATTGGTAGGAAATCCCAGACGATGGTTGACTTTCGAGTAGGGAGTTCTAAGTATTGCTGTGGCTAGATTTCCTTCTGTGAAACTGGAAATTTGAAACCTAAATTCTTTGAAGAAAACTAAAGTCCTACAAATCTGGCGTCTTAAGAGTAAGATAAGCCATAGTATACCTACTGTTTGTGTCCAGGTCCCTTCAGATACAGGGAGTGGGGGCAGTTACACAGCTTCGCTAAAGGGCAATTTTTATCTGTAATAAGTATTTGCTTGGCAAGTATGGTAGACCTGTATAGCTCTGTTCCACATACTATTTCTAAAATCACCATAAAACTGCTTAAAGCTGCTGGGATGCCTTCATGCAGTGCTTTTAGCGGATACTCACAACAGCCTTGATAACAGCATCATGCTGTGCAAGGGCCTAGACTGATGGAGTACCGTATTTTTTGCTCTGTAAGACGCACCAGACCACAAGACGCACCTAGTTTTTGGAGGAGGAAAACAAGAAAAAATATATTCTGAATCTCAGAAGCCAGAACAGCAAGAGGGATCACTGCGCAGTGAAAGCAGCAATCCCTCTTGCTGTTCTGGCTTCTGGGATAGCTGCGCAGCCTGCATTCGCTCCATAAGACGCACACACATTTCCCCTTACTCTTTAGGAGGGGAAAAGTGAGTCTTATAGAGCAAAAAATACGGTAATTATGATGGCTTCTGCGGACTCATTCTGGAGTTGGGCTCAAGCACCATTGCTGGAACATTTACACATAATCCTAGCTGGGATCCTGTAAACCCCAGCTGCATGCCTAAGGCACTTCTGCACAGGCACAGGAAATTCCTCGTTTTTTATTTTCAACTTCACTCTGATGTGTCAGGTGACACTTGAAAATAGGAGTGGGGAATCTGTTACCCTCCAGATGCTGGACTGCAATGCCCGTCATTCCTGACCACTGGCTAGATGCTAACTGGGGTCGCTGGGAGTGGAGTCCTAATAATATAAGGCTTGGTACAGGTTCCCCATCCCTGTCTTAGTGTCACTGATCTGCAGGAGAGCTGCTATAGAGAAGGGAGGAACCATGAGTAGAAGCAGAAATACAATACTTTTGTCAGCTTTCCATGAAACATACATCAAAGTTAGCTGCCCAGTATATTTGTATTCCTGATATTTATGGTCAAAACACTTTAACCCCTGTGCCTCCTTTGACCTTCCCTTTTAATTTTTTGTGTGAATGCTACTTTGAATTGAAATTTAAAAATAAAGCAAAAAAAAATATGACTGGGGCGCCAAGAAAATATAGAGGTTGCATTTTTTTAAAATGTGGGTCTTTTGAAGATGATGTAATGGCTGTATTACTTTAGGAATTTTCTATGCATGTGTATTCAGACATTCAGGATTTACTCCCAGGTAAAGCGCTTGTGGTTTCAGGATTTCCACTTAAAAGCACAATCTTTATCCACTTAGTTTAATGGCGCATACTCCCAAGTAGGTGTGCCTAGGGTTATTTTTGGCTAAAATTACCTCCCTCCAAAATGATTTTTTTCCTAATACTGATGCTCCTACTAAGTATCCATATGCTCTTTATTTAATGATTAGTTTTTACAAAATAATGTTCAAAATTTAAAAATGTTCACAATGTATAATTACATATTGAGAATATCTTTAAATAGCATTTTAAGGGCTGGATTGCAAAACCGTATCAGGGTGAATAAAAGCATTTAAAAGCCTCCAATACACACTAGCCTCAATTGAATGCACTTCAATCTCATTGAAAATCAGCAGCCACAGGCACACAGAATGAGGTGTCCTTGCTTTGATTTCAACAGGTTTAAATGTGCTCATTTCTGCATCAGCTATTGGTCCGTGGACTCAGGTGATCCAAACTTTCGTTTTTCTTCTAACCCCTCCCCTCCAACATTTATGATGTATTTTATAAACAAAGCGGTTGAGCAAGATTCCACTTTTAGAAATGCTTGTGTCACAAATTATTGTGGAGACAATGCCCAAAATCAAAATATGTAATAACAATAACGAACTAATGTAACAAAGCTTATAATTTACAAATCAGTTTGTCAAGATATGATTTAAAAGAGACGTTTGCCTTTTATTGTTTCTGTGGTTCTAACCAAAGAAAAATGCTGATTTTGCTAAAGAAAGTGTTATATCTGTTTAAAATGACAGTCTGGTGATCTAATGTCATTTATTATATTTCCAAGCGTGCACAGCACTTGATATCCTGTGGCAATAAATTTCTTGTATTATTTCATATTGGCTGTGCATGTCTAGTTATAGGCCACATTTGAGTGAACTGCATAGAAAAAGGGATTGCACATGTGTAGTGGAAACATTATTCTGCATTTCCAAAAAAAGCAGCACTCTCTACTGCATCCAGAGTTGCAATGGAAGCTCCTCTCCAGGGGGTGGGGGGGACTAGCCCCTCTGCATAGGTGAATCTGCTCCTTCATGACTTTTGTCTTCCTTGAAACACGCTATTTGACAATGGGGGAAATCTCCAATGCTTTGCGGTCAATTGATGTATACCAAGTGTACTCTCCATCAAATCAATTGTGAAATCAGTAGATGGAAGTCAGATGTATTTTTCATCAAAGCAGAAACATTCAGTTCATAAATGCTTACATTAAAATGAAATAAAAATTACTGCATCAACTCACAAACAATCATTAGGATAATTTAATCAGAATCGGCTAATCTAGTGAAAAGTACTCTTATTTTGAGAGAATAATATGTGCTGTTGGATACATTTTTGCTATATATAAATAGCATGGTGGAGCATCATGAATCTGAATGCCTTCCAGAGAGGGAGAAGAGAATGGAATAATGACATAATTCCAAATTTCCTTTTGGAGAATAGATCTACCTTTTTAATATCTGATTTACAAACATTTAAAAAATAAGACTGCATTGTGAAATAAGGGAATGATATTTTGGAAACTTGAACATACTTTCAAATGGAAGTTGAGCTTTCATGGTTTCTGTTAATGGGCTTGTGCTGTTATTTCTCTTTATAAGCAAAATATTAAAATAAGTTCATTTACACAAGCTCCATATTTGCAACATGTTGATCCTAAAACCATTATGCCCAGACTTAACTACAACTGGATTTTGGTGGAAATTACTTTCATGTAAATGCATTTAGGAGTGAGTACAACAAGCATTAGAAAAGCACGTCAAAGGTGGACTTGAACAGTCCAATTTAGAGTTCCCCCTATAATTTCTGCTTTCAATTGTTTAGTGGGTTTTTTAAAACAAAAAAAAACTGTCAGAAGCATTAATTGTGTCAAATGGTTTTTCATGGAAGTACAACTGAAAAGTCTCTTGAACCTCTTGACATAACAAAAATAGGTTTAAAGTAAACATGGTTTTTTTGTTTCACATTTGAGAACATCTCCTTTTGCATAATTTATTACCTTTTAATAATATACATATATTAAACAATCCTATTATTTATTCTGCAGTCTGGCACTCTGAAGGCCTTTGTATTGGACTAATGGTAAGAAGTAGCCCATCCTTTTAGTTTGGCACGCTTACAGTGCAATCTTGCATGCCTACTCAGAAGTAAGTCCCATGCAGTAGTATCTTGGGTAGGTGGGCATAAGGGTTGCATCTTAATATATCCTCATTACTCCCTTTGTAATCATTACAGTGATGCTTTGTCATACTGTATATAAAATCTTAAAACATTTATGTCAAATGAAATAGAAACTAGACGTTTACATCCAATATTGTTTGTTTCTTGAACACACATTTCAGTTGGACTTTAAATAATCCATTAAGAACAGCTGTCTTAAAATTGTCTATATACTAACAGGTGCAGGAGAGAGCAAGTGTCACTGGTAAAAAGGGTGTAATGAGTTGAATTGGCTCCTTTACTACATGTGTTTAGGAAGGCAAATCAGTTTAATCAGGCTGCTGTTTTCTATGTTTTATATTTTATAGTGATTTACCGCACATCATTGATCTTCTTGGGGGGGAAAGTGATATATAAATAATGATAAATACTGTTGCTTTAACACTAGCGGACCAGCACTTAGCTATGGGTTCTGTTGGTGGCTTTTGGCATACCATATACTCCACCTTCTAATTCCATAGCTATTAATTTATAGGCTTGTTACAGAAATAAGATGATTGAAAGGCATTCTGCCCATGAACAACACCATCCTAAATGTAATTGATGGTCTATTGAACTGTAGGACTTTTCTGATGCTGCAGTGGAACAGTTTATTTGCATAAACCATCCTAAGCACATGCTGGGACAGCTTGCTGTACAACCAGGGTGTAAAAATGGTTTACTCATCTGATAAATAGCCAGGCACCAACAATCATCTCTCTCACATTCTAACATGATGAAGGCTGCAATCCCATGCATGCATACTTGAGCTTACTTCTGAGATGACATGCATAGAAGATTATGCTCAAGGCCCCCTTTCCGTATATGCACACATACACATGTACCTGCACAAAATGTTTAACTTTATGTGTGCAAATATACCAAACCCTACAGACAGGACTGCATTGGATCATTGGCAGTGTGACTGGCACCCTGCTGCCTGTGTGAGAAGTTATATAAACGGTTGTACCTGTTTGTATTTACCTTACATGCTGCGTGTGTTTTGGATAGCACCATAAAGGAGACACTTCCATCCAGCAGTAGCTAAGTGTGGATGGAGCCCAAGAAATGAAACACAAGGTGAAAACTATGTAGGTAGGATCAGGCTCAAGCGTCATCAAGTTCTGAAGGGCAAAGCAAATGGGCTGCATTTGGCAACATGTTGGGACAATACTTGCTCCCCAGCATCGAGTATCCACTTTTACGGTTTTCCCTTATAGGCCAATGGTTATTCGTGCCTGTGAAAAAAATGTTGCACCTGGAGACACTGCTGATAGTGGGAATATGACACTGGAAATAGGGTATGGTCTCCCCAAAAAGATGACCCACATGGTGGGAAGAAGTCTTTGTAACACTTGACCAGGTTTTTAAAGCAAAGGCAAAACACCAGATCATATACCTAATGGAAACTGCAATATATTGTCTTGACAGAACTGGACTCTTCTATGGTTTTCTCTCTTTTGCACATTGATTCAGAGCACTGCAAGTGCTTCCATGTGCCTGTGGCCCCTCTGCTTATGCAGAGACTGCCTATTCACTTCAGTGGAGGCAGCAGAATTATTTGCATAAAGGAGTTTATACACAGATTTGCTCCCTCTGTTGAGATGAATGGATCAACCCTTGTGGGTCATGCAACTCCTTCTGCATATGCTGGAGCTACAAAATGTGTGTAAGAAATCAATGGACTGGAGCAATAGAGAAAAATGGAAAACGAGACACAACTGTGCTACAATCATTTTCAACCCCTGACTTGCACCTATATACAGTTAAATTAGAGCTAAGGCTTGAAGCAGGTTAATTTTCTATTTCTAGGTAGTTAAGGGCATATAAGGACAAGGCAAATAATTCCTTCGGAGGGAATAAGCAAAAATTCAATTACATCTTCTTTTTATTGTAAAATCATTCCTCACCACATACTATGAGTTGGATCCACACGCATCATAGTTAGCAGGTAAGTCACAAGTACCAAAGCTGATGGATGGATAAAAGCAGCAAGATCATAGCACACCAAAAGTATCATATATGCCGAAGAAATAATTCAGTGCTTTAAAGATTTTTTTCCCCCTCTATAAAAGTTGTGATCTATATAGGACTTCATTCACATGGACACTAACAACAAGGAGTATTTTGCTTTGGCGGTAGTGGATCACACATCTGTTTAACTTGCTCTATATATTTTTTAAACACGCTCTCTGGGTTGTACAGATGTGAGTCAGGTAGCATTTTGCCCCACATTAATGAGGTGTCTCTCGGCCAGTATCCTCTGGGATTCTCGATTCGTCGATTTTGTGTTTTTTTGCCACGTGAATCCATCACTTAGAAGAATGTGATTTTGTGTTCCACTTAATTATCAGTCAGCATAAATTATAAATCCAGAAAACGTGCTGTATTTGTTGTTGTTTCCTCCATGTGCTTTCCCTCCATCTAATTTTATGTAGACTTCATCTCCTGGCTCCAAATGTAGAACGACGCTGTTACTGGCATAGTCGTAGTTTTGGTCTGCATCCTGAGCAATTGCACTAGCTCGCACCTAAATAAAACAAAACACAATGAGAATATGTGGTTTGCAATTATAATACTAGTCAGCTCTGTAGAACGGAAGTGCACGGGTGGCTTATTCCAATGCTCTTCTTGGTAGAAAAAGGTTTTGCCTTTACCACTGTGGCTACTGACATATCAGAGACTAGCAGAAGAGTCAGCCATAGCAAATTATTTTAACTTACGCCACCCAGCATCAGCTTGTTTGACTGAATAATACATGACTACCGTCTATCAACATACGCCTGTAACCTTTCGCAAAATCACTTCTAATAACTAGAAACACTATTTTATGTATTTGTTTCCCATATGCATAGCCAGGGCTGGATTTAGGTTTGATGAGACCCCAAGCTACTGAAGGTAATGGGGCCCTTTATATGTCCAGCTGTCCTTTGTCAACAACAAATTGTTGCTGTTTTTTGTGTCGAATATATGCTATATGGTAATTTATGGACCTAATAGGTATCTAAAGCCATTTGGACATAACAAAAGGCTAGCAAGCAGGGCCCATTATTTCCATCATAGGAGCCTACACAACAAAACACTGTTGCTGTATGTAGGTTTTATTTTATTTGCTTTTTATCTTATATTTTGGAAATGCACATCCAGTTTTTTTCCCTTTACATTTTTTTGGGGCCCCCCAAGAGAGTGGGGCCCTAAGCTATAGCTTGTTTAGTTTATACGTAAATCTGGCACTGTGCATAGCCCATGCTCTTGGGAGCTCAGGGTAGTGTAGGTGAGGATTATTCTTCTCACGTTAGGATGAGAAACAGACAGGCCTGAGGTCAACCCAAGAATTGTAATGCTGAGAGGTATTCAGAACCAGTACAACACCAGTCACTTCACCAGATCAGTGCTCTAGACTTAAGCCAAAATATACAGGATTGCGAAACAAGCAGTGATAGTTCAGTTGGTTAGAGCATGATGCCGAGTTCTATGAGCCTGGTGTTTTGCCGGTGTGCTTTGCACCTTATTTTCCTTGAACTGTGCCTCCCACTATGCATGACAAATTGCTTCTGACACGAAGGGGAATTTTTCAAAGCAGCTTGTGAACATATGAAATGAAAAAGGAATAAGCTAGCATTCCACTGGGCCAGCACAATCCCACCTAATGAGCCTAAGCAGAGGGAGGGGGTTGGGGGAGGCAGGAGAAGCCAGACACAGTCTCGATCTCATATCAGATTCAACAGGTATGCATCCGTCTAACATTGCACTTGACTCCTGTTGGCTTGGCTCGTGATCAGAATCAGGCCCATTGTAGGGGAAAAGGATATGAGATTATCATAGAGATGTCAAGAGGGGTAAGTATATAATAAAACCACCCCTTGATGCCTTTGAATCAATGAACTTTACATCATGTTGAAGGCAGTGTTTAAACTGATGTACGAAGAAGATGCAACACAGGAGCAGGAGCAAGCTACAAAATCAACTACCTCCACATTCATTGAATATATGCAGTTTGAAAGCCATTCAGCAAATTTAACTAATGCAGGGAACATGTACATCACACCAGCTTTTCTGATTTGAGATTATATTTTAAAATCCTGAATTCTTAATTATGCAGTGTCTACAAGCTTAGAGTTGTAAGTGTCTTGGAGTTTTAAAGAATGCCATATTGAATTTTATATAATTAACAAACCTGGCCACAATCCTAAGCCCACTGAAGTAGAACTGCACATAGACCAGTTTAACAGAATCGTTCAGAAAACTTAAGAGTTTGGTTTCAGTAGCAAAATATTTAACTATTTATTTGTATGCGATCTATGTTAGTATAACACATCATCTGCCTTGTTGCCTGTTCTTATTCCACCACAGATATACATGACTGCTGCTGATTTAGTGCTTTTGCAAACCTGAACTAAATAATGCATAACTTGGCATGCAATCTCCCGGATATATTTTTTTTAAATCTTTTTGGAATTGAAAAATGTACAGTAAGTAAAAAAATAATAAATACACAGATGCCTTTCAAAAGTATAAATGACAGGTTTTCAAATTAAATTTTCATGTGATATGATCCCACATTAATTCAGAAATGTTAACAATGGATAAGACTTTTCACCATGCTAGATCTCATAAGGTATTAGGAAGCTTAGAAATCACGGAAGCAGGAAAAACCTCCTCTTGTGCATCATATAGCAAGGTTCGGAAAGGCTTAAAAGATTTGTAATTGCTTAACAAATGTTCTAATTTAAGCTGATATACTGTATAATATCCTAGGCAATTCTACTTTGGATTTGTATCTTCAGAAATATGACACATATTGAACTGATCTGCCTTGGCTACTCATAAAGCAAAAACTATCAAATTGTGTATTTCCTAAGGGTTAACAGGTGCTTGGGAGGAGCAGGTGACTTCAGACCATTAATCCCAGAAATATTCATCCCTAGGAATTACCCTGTTTTGAGATCATTACTGATATTACAAATAGTAAAGAGGAAGAATGGATGATTGGTTTTGTTTGAATTATTATCACAGTTTTAAATTCAACCAATGTCTGCATTTTATTCAATCGGACTGCTTAAATTATCGCGCAAATTCCATTCATGCACTATTTAAATGCTGCACGTTGAATTTATGTAGCATTTTATGTTACAGTCTGATGAATCCTCCCCACTCCCCCACAAAAAAGCACGAGGTCTATTTTGCTATTGGCTCTAGCATTAAATGTGCTTCATATATCACTATGAACACTATGTAAAGGCAGTGGGCACTCTCCACAGCAATGGACATTGTCTGCACTAAAAGAATTGAAAGATTTATTGATTGAACTCCTAAAAATACTTTGCAGATTGCAGTCATTTTGTGTGCAGCTACAATGCCTTGTGACTTAACCTTGATCCCATACAATGTGTGTGCTACCTTTGCAAGACTCTGCCTCTTTTGTTGTTGTTTGGCAACCAATGTAATTTCTTTTTAAAGCCTATAAGGACAATCTTAGAAAAAACCCTATGTGTATTGCAGCACACGTTAAAGGTGCCTCAAAATTAAAAACAATTAATGTGTGTGTTACATAAGTTTCACAATGGCTCGCCTCACTGAGTTATACAAGTATACAGGGACATTAAAACTGCAAACAAACCAATTATGTTATAGCTTCAGCACTTCTATATTTAAGCTAACTGTTAAGGAAGGCAATGTGTTACATGGGAGTCCTTGAGATATTCAATAAATGTTGCTCTTGAATGATTCCACCCCCAACCCTGCGAGTCATATTCACTCTCAGTACTCATGCTTTCCTACATTACCATGCTGAATCTATTAACACCCTGCTCTCTTTTTGGCCAGTCCCACCAATATTTTGTATTGAAAGCTCTATTGTCCAAGTTCATTAGCTGCCAGCTTCATCAGATCAAACAGTCCCCCAAACTAAAGCTACTCACTAATATGAAAAAAATGTCTTAAGAATTTCTTATGGCTGAATAAATATAAACTGAGTTCAGAGCTGCATGATCAATATTTGTCTATTCTGTTTGTATAGTGACTAAATTAAGCAATTTATAAATGTCTGGAATTATGTACTTTATCTTCAGGCTTATTTTAATATTTATGATCATAAAAATATGCCATGCACTCTACTGTGTTCTGTTTTTATTTCTATCATATGTTAATAATGCTTTTTAATAACCAAAATTAAAAAGTTTTTTTTCCTGAACCAGATGGTTGTACGTGTGAGACATGGCAATTTGCTGTGCTGTATTTAATGTTTAACAATGTGGTCTCATCTCTAAAAGCAATATTTATGGCAGGTGTTTGCTAATTTGATTAATTTCTACTGATGTCCCCATAATTTCATTTTTACAGTGCTTTTGAGAAACCATAAACAAAAGGTTAAGTGGCGTATCAGATTAATATACCAGCCTTTGATGCTTCCATCTGTGATCTGCTGTTTAACACAAAGCTGAAGTGACTGAAAGAGCTCTCATCTGGTTACGGTACACTGGTATTCCCCAGTACCAGTGTTCAGCAATTTCAGCTTCATTATTCTGCCTTTCAGGAAAAAAATCTCTTCAGTCTCAGGCACTTTCTACAAACACGCAGTATCATATTTCAGCTTTTTTGGAACCTTGGTTAGAATACTGTGAAATCATGTTCTGTGCTACCTACAATTAAGGCTATATAAAGTAATGAATGAAAATAAAATATTAAAAGTGAACCCCTAATAGTCTGGTGAGTCGCTGTAAACATGAAAACAATGACCAGCAAGCCCTTTGGGGAGAAACGGTGTAATCTATGCTTACTGGACAGCATTTAGCACCCTACTGATATAAAATAACTATTTAGAAGTAAATGTAAAATTCATACTTTCTGATAAAGGTTTGAAAAGCTACCTTATTTCTAAACTTATGACATGTGATATAGTTTGATCAAACTCCTTTTTTGGTTTTCCCTTTTTTAGGATTAAATGTTTATTGATTGTGCATACATCTGTAATGTTTATTATACTTTATTTTCACCCATAAACAATCTATTGGACTTCTGCATCAACAAAGCCCTTCTAGGCTCATGTTCTGACTCATTTTATCTTACCCTGTGCCATTATCAATCTTGCTTACAAAGACAATAATTAATGCAAGTGTGTTTGTGTGTGGTATGTATGTCAGATCTCTGGGGGCCACTTTAAAGCCAAAGGAAGCAGGCAGTTGTGCCACCATTTTGACTACTTAAAATGGATTATATATGCCTTTCACTTTATAGAAATGTGTGATCTTTTAATGTTTGGCCTAGTGAGGCTTTGAAGTGTGGCTGGGAAGGGGTGCCAAATTTGGAAGCAAAGATGACGTTGTTTTAAAAGCTTTCCTCTTCACAGACCTTCCTCTTAACAGAGGTTGGAAAGCTCCTTCCCCTATGCGACCCTGTGCATGTGTAAGGCACACTGAGCACCGCAGGACTTGTTGCTGAGTAAATAAAAAACATATATTGATAGGGTTGTAATGCCGGGGGTTATGTTTAGTGCAGTGCCAGCGGCGTCATGAATCTTGAACTTATGCTTGTCATTCTAGCATTTACCCTCCCCGTCTTTCCATCTGTAAATGCTGAGTTTGTATATATATATAAAGTTTATAACCTGGCCACTCTCCAGGTTATTATGCCTAAAGCCACGAATCTGGGGCGGAAAGTTCCCATTCCCTTGAGCCCAGTCCCTTCCCAGCGCCGGCCATTTTCTTCCTTTCTCGAGGAGGCGTGGGTGGGACCCCCAGAGAGATCCTTTCCAACCTGCTCCGTCGTCAGAGCAGATGGAGAGCCTCCCCTGTCTCGAAATGGCTCCTTCTTCCACTGCTCAGGAGCTTCTCCTCACCCCCGGGAAGCCGCCCCTCCACAATCCCCACCCTCTTCTCCTTCCGGCCCGCCTGGCGACTCCGGCGCCACCAGGAAGGCGCGCAGCAAAAGGCCCGCGCTTTTCCCTCGCCCTCCGGCGACGCGCGAAAGGAAGGAAGGGCGAGGGAGAGAGGGGAGGCATTTCTCGACGGGACTGCTTTTCATACCAGTTTTTTTTTATTTCCATTTAAAGCACACACACGCAAAAAACCCACAAACATAAAAACTACGCCTGCGCGCCGTGCGCTCTTTACTTTCTTTCTCCTCGCTTTTTGCAACCTGGCCAACAAAATCCCCGAGGTGAGTTGTTCTGCCCTTAATGACTGAGCGCGGCCGGATTCACGCCGCGTCCACTGAGTCCTTATAAACCCATTTTGTTGTTGTTGTGGCCTCGCTCATTTGTGACTCTGAGAAGGCGGCTGGGGAGGCAGGGAGAGAAAGAGGAGGAGGAGGAGGAGCGTTTATTAAGAGACCCAATTAAACGAGGCGGGGGGAGGGGGGTCCTCTCTCTTGCCTCAGAAACCACCACCATGGGGGGGGGGGGCACAAGCGGGCTGGGTTTCCACTAGACGCCGCCTTCACACCTCGGGAAGGGAGAGGAGGCGGGTGCCCCAGTGGGGACGCGCCCCTCCCAGATTCCTATTCCCAGATCCCCCCCCCCGGGAAGGCCGGGGCTCCTCTTTCGCACGAGTCCGTTTCCCTCTTTGTCTCTCAGGACTCCTTTCCCCCTCCCCGGCATGAATTGCTTGACCCGGCGCCCGCCTGCTTTTTGCGCCTCACGGTCCACTGAGCCCCATCAATTAGGCACTTTCACTCTCTGTACTTAATGGGAGGCGGGGCGGAGGGCAATGTGCGCTTTTGCTGCGAAAGGCGGCCAGCCTGCCCTTCTGCACCGGGGGTCCCTCGGGCTCATCCTGCCAACATTTCTGTCCCAGAGGCACCAGCAGTGAACCGCCCCTTCCAACGCGCCCACTTAGGCTCGGGTGCCAGACTGCAGCTCCCATCATCCCTGGCCATTGGCCCTGCCAGCTGAGGCTGATGGGAGTTGGAGTTTCACGTCGATGGGGGTCGCAAGCCCCCCATCCTGGGGTTGCCACCAGCCGCAGCTCTTTCATAGGGACGTGCGTCCGACGTCCCGTGGAGCCTCCGCTGTTTTCCCTCGCGGAGGAGGGGAGAAAGGAAAGGCGTCCACGTGGATTTGTCTTATGGATGGGTACAGGCTCATGGTGCACAGCTTCCTCCCCAATTTAGCCCTTCCTCATATGGGGAGGGAAAAGCCCTTCCTTGCCATTTATCCAGCCGCAGGGGCTGGGAGAAGGGAGCAGCTCGCGCAACTTAAGTCGCCTCGGGAAGCAGCGACGCTTACTCAGTAGTTTGCACATACGGAGCTGACGGGCTGCCTCGGGTGTAACGGCAGAAGGACGCTGCAGCCGATCCCTGTGGCTTTTCCTTGCCATTTCCAGACTTTCCTGCCTCCTGGGAGCCTCCCGCAACTCCTCCTTCCTCTGAGCGGGCAGGCTGAGCCCCGGGACCTTTTTAACGATCCCGGGGTTGCCTGTCCGTCTCACACCGCCCCTTCCTCACCACGTTCAGGTTCAGCCGTTCAGCACGTGAACAAGGAAGAGTGTCTTAAAGTATATACTGTGTATACGCAGAGTCCCATCTCTTCACCACTCATAGCTCCTAAAAGTCTCCAAGCTAGTTTGACAAAAGAGATCTCTTAACATTAGGAAGTAAGCGCTGGGCACCTTCCCAAATCTCCCCGGCTTTGAGGCTGCCTCTTTTCTACTCACTACCACTTTCCAGGCAGCGCTCCTCTGAATTCCTTTGGGTTTGGGGCTGGCAAACTCTCCCCGGCAGAAATTCAACAGGTGCAGCTTTGGCACAAACGCGCTCTTCTAGCCTTTGCCTCACCTGTTGAATTTCCACCTGGCTGGCCAACCAGGAGAGTCGCGCCAGGCAATACCAACGCGGTCAAACAAAAACAGATGGCAAGCCTGACCTCTTCGGCCTCGATCCGAGCTGCTGCTGCTGCTGCTGCGCCCCTAAAGCGGGCTCCCCTCCCCGCGGCCCTCCCTCTCTTTCTCCCCGCCAGGCCCCACCTGGTTGTTCTTGCACAGATCGGCCCACATGCTGGTGCCGTCGCCGCCGCGCATGAGCACGTGGTAGGTGAAGAAGTAGATGCCGGGGATGGAGCAGGTGAACTTGCCCGTGGTGGGGTCGTAGTGGTTGCCCAGGTTGGTGACGACGTCGTCGAACTTGAGCACCTCGTAGCCCTCGTGCTGCCGCTTGAGGCCCGCGTAGAAGGCGATCTTGGGCACGGTGCTGTAGGTGGCGGCGCTGATGGCCCCGGCCGCGTTCAGGCCCGGCGCGCCGGGCGGGCCCGGCAGGCCCTGGCGCCCGGGCTCTCCCTTTTCCCCCGGCGGGCCCACGGGCCCCGGCGGGCCGGGTTCCCCCGGCGGCCCCCTGGGCCCGGCCTTGCCCGGGCGGCCGGCCTCTCCCTTGGGGCCCTGGATGAAGGTGGGCAGCGACTGCATGAGGCCTCGGTCCGGGGTGGCGGCCGTGCTGGGCGCCTTGGTGCCGCCGTAGGGGTCGCACACCATGCGGCAGGTGCCCAGCATCTCGTAGTGCGCCGACGTGCCCGCCGAGCTGACCAGCACCGGGATGAGGATGACCAGCAGCAGCACCATGACCACCCCCAGCGCTCCGGCCGCGATCAGCCGCCGCCTGCTGCCCACCAGGCGGCTCAGCGCAGGGCGATCCTCTTGCCTGCTTTTGGACAAAATCTTGATGGCGGGACGGGAACCTCCTCGAGCCGAAATCCTCGCGGGGCACCTTCCCCGCGTCCCAGGGGGCTGCTCGCCCTCGTGCTCCTCCTCGCGGCCGGGAGGAGCGCGCCGGAAGGGCTCCTTCGCCCGATCCCCCAGGCCGAGTCCCGAGAGCCTCGCTCCCCGTCGGGGGCACCTGTGGCTGCCGCCGCCGCCGCCGCCGCTGCTCCCCTCGAGAGGAGCCGCGCACACTTTTATGCTGCTGCTGGCGATCGACTTTTCCCCCCCGCCTGTGCCAGCTCGAATCAAGTTCCCTTCTTCTGCTCCTCCCGATCGCCTCTCGCTGCCTTCCCGCGGGTTTTTTTTTCCTTCACCTCTCCCCCTCTCCTCTTTCCAACCCCTTCTTTCCGTCACTCATTCATTCTGTCTCTTCAGCAGTCAGCTACACCAGCTCGGCGAAGGGAGCGGGATCGGAGATTCCTGGGGAAATCCTGTTCGCGCCACAGCCGGATGGAGAGAGAGAGGGGCGCTCCCCGTCGTCCGCCTTGGCCGCCTTCCTGGCTGAAGCTGCCGGGGTCCGCGAGCCGCTCGGTGCCGCTGCCGGGAGCTGCCCACAGGCTCGTCGGAGCGCGCGCAGCCACGACGAGAGGAGGCTGGCAGAGGCGCCGCCGGGGTAATTTATAAGCGCCCGAAAGCGCAGGGGAAAGGGGAGCTGCCTTGGCATCTCATCCCAGCATCTGCTCGGCTCATCCCACTCGCCCAGAGTTTGGCATCTCTCTGACAAGTGTGGGGAAATGTTTTCCTCCCCTCTCTCCCTCCACAACCCCCCTCCCCGTCTTACTTTTTTTTTTTTTTAATTCTCGCTGAGCGGAGAAATTGTGAGCATTTCCCTTGCTGAGCCCTGAGTGATGACAGTTCCCCCACCCCGTTTTTGGGTTTGTTTTTTTTTTGTTTTGTTTTTTTTGCTGGAGCAGATCAAGGAGGGGGAAAGAGAGAGATCTACTTAGCACCTTTTGGATAACCTTCAGATCACTGATCCAGAATGTAAAGGTCACCCACACTTCTTGTTGGATAGTTCCCCCAGCGGTCTCTGTCTGTCATATGAAATATCACTTTTAATACAAGGGCAGTGTATTACAGTTCACCCAGCAAAAAGCCATTTGGAAACAGCATCCGCTCCAACCACTGCTATGCACTGAGTTGGACGTTTTTCCTGGTTTAAATCTGCATCTACCTAAAACACATGGAAAAAATACCCTCTGTCTCTGTTTCTCTGGAAATTAAATGCGGAACTATGGTAGTATGTAGGATATAAAGGACCTTCCCCTGCTCTTTGGTCAGACACTGCATTATTATTATTATTATTATTAGTCATCTGTTAACAATATTTCCTTAGGCAACACTGTAAATATCTTTATAATAGTGCTGCTTTAAATATATCAGGCTATGAGACCCTCCAGCAAAGGCGATATACATCAAAGACAAGGAAGAAGTTTCTGTGCCAACCCTGAGCACGTTTTCCCAAAGAGAGGTAGTGTTTGCTCAACTGACTTCTCCTTTCTTAAACTGCCTTTCATCCCTCCTTCCCGTCCTCCCCACTGGAGATGGGGTGAATGTCATTCTCCGGCAAGGTGACTAAGCCACCAGCTTTCCATAATTTGAACTGGTAGTTCTCTGCAACAGATATCAAGCTAGTACCATTTGCCTTCCAAGCACAAGGCAGAACAGGGCTGCCTTAAACAAATAGGCCAAATTGATTCCTAAATCATACTTCTGCATTCAGGAGCAATTGGACGTCAATCAAATGCAGGTGACATTTGCCTGTCAATACAGGGATGATGGCTGAACGAGTGTGACTTATTATGGCGGGGCAAGAATCTGAAATGAGCAAAAGCAGCAAATAAGCAAATAACACCATCCCCGGTGAGTGTTGATCAGAAAGCTGTGATCTTGTCTGGGGCTTGCATAGCACGAATCTCTTCTTTATAATACCGCCCCCCCCCCGTGGACTCCCGTTCTTTTTCTTCTGTTCCGTAACACAATAAGGTCAAAGCAGCAGCCAGTGGGGAAACAAAGATCCATCGATTCTTCCTTTTAAGTAGAAATGTCAGCGGCTCCTTGCACTCTTCCCTAAGAGAATCAAAAAGCAAAGAGTGTGTGGCCACACCATGCCACAGATGGACCAGCCCAGCTCCTTATCTCCACAGCGTGCTGCTGATAAAAGCCTCAGCTTTTGGCATTTGTAAATATTCCCAACGCCGCCCCTTTTTCTGATTTTTGTCAGAGCTCAACCTTTAATAAAGTTGTTATCTCACAAAGACACAATCCAGTTGCCAGATCCCTTTGCTTCAAGCTCCCAGGCCATCCTGTGAAAGGCTTTCTTCTTCTTCTTCCTCTTTTTAACGGGCGTGCGTCTTGTTTATGCTACATCAGCTTCTCCCCAAAGGAAGGTTTTCTTTGTAAAGAGAGAGAAAGATGGAAAAGTCAGAAGTGCAACCAGTTTTTTGTATTCCTTGCATCAGCATTAAGTTTTCAGAGCATCATATCTAGCTATAAAAAGTACTGTATGCACAATCTATCATTAAATATTAGTATTGCATTCATATCCTACCTTTCCTTCAAGGAGCTCAAGGGGGTGAATATGTCCCCCCCACTACAGCTTATCCTCACAACAACCCTGTGTAGGTAGGGCTGAGAAGCAGTGGCTGAATGGGGATTGCACTAGTCCAGCACTCTGACCACTACGCCACACTGCTGCTGACAAAATCATTCCTCATATGTGGATCATTATGTAGCCAAAACATAAGAGGGAAGTGTCAGCAGGCTGAGAGAACCTCCAAGTTGCAGAAGTACCAAAAAAAGAAAAGGGGAAAAAAAGAATAGGTAATAAAATCTAAGGGGCAAGGTGGGGGGAAACAGCATGTTCAATGATGATTGGATATTTACTGACTTTTAAAGATGAAAAAAATGCAAAGAGAAAGGCAAATAAGGCTTGGCTTCCTGACTGGTGGAACATCAGAGAGCACTCTGCACTGCAATGTTTTGTTGGATGGCTGGGTACCCCAAATGGGGCTATTTTGAGAAACAGGAATGATGATTAGAATATAGCTCAGTTGGTAGAGCATGAGATTTGTCATCTCAGGGTCATGGGTTCAAGCCCCACGTTGGACAAAAGATTCCAGTATTGCAGGGAGTTGAACTAATTCTATGATTCTATGCTATTTGTACAGTGTGATTAGAATATCCACATGCTGGCTGAATCCCAAGGTTTGCAGAAGTAGAAACAATTTTTTTTAAGGGCAGCCCCCACCCCCCACCAAAATGTGGACTAAGCATGATCAGTATATACATGGGATGCCGGGGGAGGAGAAAAGGCAAGTGATGGGGGAGGGAAATGGAACGGAGTATTCCAGGAAAGGGCACAGTTGACTAGCTGTAATTTTGAATAGGAGCACTAGTCTGCACTGAAACTTTTCGTTGCAGATCTCATTTTCAAGATCTGTGTATATGTTGAAATGGCTCCAAATATATGTCCATGTTATTCATGCCAGGGTCAGGGATGGCTCTGCAATTAGACAGAGCCAGGCAGCTGCGTCAGGCAACAGATGTTGTGGGGTCAGGAGCAGCAGTTCCTTGCCGGGAGATAAAGCTGTATGTTCTACAGCAGGCACCCCAAAACTCGGCCCTCCAGATGATTTGGGACTACAACTCCCATCATCCCTAGCTAACAGGTCAGGGATGTTGGGAATTGTAGTCCCAAAACATCTGGAGGGCAGAGTTTGGGGGGTGCCTGTTCCACAGGGACTGCCTCAGCTAGCCTGGTGCAGAGGAAGGTGCTGTCCCACTGCCAGTGCTGAACTAAAATCCAGCCGTCAGCCCAGTTAGTTTCTATTTGTGGGGTGGAGAGAATCTTGTCCGCTTCAGGAAACAAAGTATCTTTGACTATCTCTGCTTAAAGAGCCTGAGCAGCTGAAGGTGCGCATACATGCACACATACACACTCTGATCCATTGCACTAATCTAAGTTCAGAGTGCAGCAGCTCTAGGCAAACAAGCCATCCCACTGTGCTACCCTCAAGTTAATCCTGTTTTATGTATTTAGCTGATTAAGACAAATGGAAAAATTCTAGGCTCCAATTCAACATGCTTGTAATGGCGCACGTGAGAAACAGTGTGGCCCTCAAGGATAGGGAAATGTTTCTGATACTTCCATTGCTAAGATATACAATGTTAGAGAAGTGTGGTTGCAAGATGAATTGGACTATGCCTGAGCATCTAAGAGCACCTTTTTCTCCTGCAAGTGAGCACAGCCTCTTCCCACTTTCAAGGGTTTTTTAATGGACAGGCAGATATTTCACCATTTCAAATGCCGATTCTGCCGTTCTCAGTCCATCCTCTCCTCCATGCTTCACACACGATGTCCATGTCTTCACACACACTTCAGATATTATGCTCATTTAAAAAGTGCTGCTCATACCTTTGTGCAACCAAATATTCATTTGGTGTCATGAAAAAAAGCATAATTTATTGTTGCAGGAACAGCCTCTAAACCACCAACAGGAAGCAAGTTGACCTAAAGAAACAAGTACTCACTTTTGGAAGATTTAGCATGGAATGCATACTGCACCCTAGGATATAATTTGGGGTTTATTGGGCTTAATAAAAATGTTTGAGAGCCACTTTTCACTCAATAAACCAATCAGCACATGAAGATGAATCAGTCATGTGCAAAGTTAGTATTCTCCTCTTACTGCAGTTAGTATTCTCTTACTGCTTCATTCAAAATAATAATATCTGAATAGGTGTGGCAAAAAATGGATGCCATCAGAACAACAAACTTGATGTCATTGCTTTGCCATGGAGTATATTTGATGGCTACAGGCATTCATAAAATTGTACTGCTACAGGTACTAAATACATACTTCCATTCTAAATTCAGAGTCCTCTTTGAAGCGCACATGTGGCACTCTTTGCAACTCCCTCTTGCTTTTTCCTCTGATATCATCTCTACAGTCACCTTTGATATCCATAATCTTTGATAAAAAGCTTCATTTATTAAGAAGTATTTGACACAGTGGGGGGTTTTTTTGCATCCTTTTCAAAGGCCTTTTGCCTTTTTAACTTTGGATATGCTAAAAGAGCTCAGCATGTGTAATCCAAGTTTCTTTGCAGAGCTTGCTGTAAAATGGTTGGAGGGAAATGATCACAAACCATTGTTTTAGGAATACTTTTGCTCTTATAAACAGCATTATTTCCCTCCTCTGTCTTCCCCTTCCACTACTGTCCTTGTGACTCCGTTCTCTCTCTCTCTCTCTCTCTCTCTCTCTCTCTCTCTCTCTCTCTCTCCCCACTGCCATGTTGATCTTCCAACCAGTTGTACATATTTACAATTCTAGTCTTTTTTCAGTTCTTTTCCTTTAAAGTTTGCCCTTGTTAAAGCTATCACTAAAATAAAAACAATGTATGATCCCTTGTGCTTATCCAACCAGCTCTCTCTTTTTTGGCCAAAGGTTGTTTGTTTGTTTGTTTTAAGAATGTCTTCAGAGTGAGGACAGTTTCACATTTGTATTTTTGAGACCCTTGTGTGATTTGTATCCAGTTTTAAATGTTGTTAATATAGAGTAGATAGAGAGAAAGGGATTCAAATGTATTTTTAATCTTTTGTTGGAAACCGCCCAGAGTGGCTGGGGAGACCCAGCCAGATGGGTGGGGTAGAAATTAATCATCATCATCATCAAACACAATATATATTCTAGCTGATGGGTTATATCTCTGCAGTCTTCTTCTCACGGTGTTGCCTCCCTCCAAGGGAAAAAAGCCCACTGGACACAACTCAGTGGATTGGATCCAGAATTGGCCATACTTTGAATAGACCCAATGGGGCTTGTGATATTCCATATTGCATCCACAGGGGGTGTGTATAGGGATGCAGCAGACATGCACAATCCTATGCATGATTTTTGAGGTATGTCCCATTGAGCTGAATGGGTCCTACTCCCAGATAAGCGTCCATAGGATTACTACCCTTTTAAATGCCACCCATTTTTAAAAAAAGTTTAATTACTAAACACGAGTACCATAGAAACATTTATACTTGGGACCTGCACATATTGCTACACACACACAAAACTAGGCTTAAGCAGTCAGGAGGTAAAGAGCACATACTGAATGAGCGAAGTTAAGGGAATGGAAAATTATTCTATAAACAAGAGATAAATAATCTAGATAGCCTACAAAGAGATTAGAACAATGTGGGGTACTACAGCATGTTAAATAACTGCAGAAAGCCTACCCTTTACAGAATCAAAAAATTACAATAATAAATCCAAGATAAATGTGATAATAACAAAGAATAAAAAAATACAGCAAAATAAAAGACGAATCGAGAGCCGACACAAATAATAGGGTGTGCCATAAATTATTTTTTGTTTCATTTGTTTTCATTATTAAAACATTGTTAGTTTCATTATTCATTTGTTTACATTACTTTTGCTTCAGCCGGTGGTGGCTAACCCTGTTCAGCCTCTGAGGGTCCCATTGAGGGTTGGCCCTGGTCCCAAGGGTCACAGGCCAACCTGCGAGCATCTCACACATCCACATGCACAGCGCATTCATGCACTCGGCTCGGGAGGACAGGACAGGAGGCTGAACAATCACAAATACACATATGCCACAGACAGACAAGCACTCACTCACTCATCATTTGTGCTCCCCATGGCAGGACTGGTGTTGCAGGGTCTCCTCATGCCCCGCTCTGCCCGGAGGAGCAAAAGCACAGCACCTAAGCTTTCACTTGAATTTGCCTTCATCATTCGTTTTTCTTCATCATTGCCTGTTTCTTTTGCAAATTTTTTGTGCCTTCACCTATGGAAGCTATAGCAGCAGAGCTGCTTTCAGCAGACAGCACCCGGCGGCTGCCATTTTGTTTTCCTAGAATGCCTTGGCTATTGCATTGTTCTGAGGAATTCTGGGGTGGTGGTGGTGGTGGGGAAATGGCAGTCACAGTCCCTTCCCTTAAGAAAGCCATGGAAGAGGGTGGGGAAATTTTATACCCCCAATGAACACATTCTCTCCTGTGCAAATGTCCAAGGTCAACATACCATTGGTGGGCAGACCCAAGGGCAAAATTGGGTGGAGCAATGCATATCAGTGTTGTCTTCGTACAGCAGTTTTGTTTCGACATGGACATCCTCTTCTCTGTACTTCATTAAGGGAAGCAAAAGACGTTATCTGAGTTTAAGGACACATTCCAGACCGGCAAAAACACTTGAAGAGGGTGTGAGGCCAAGTGAGTGAGAGGTGTTGCTGATGGGAAGGTGTGGCCTGTGGAGAATCCTGAGGACCAGATAGACCCTAGATGTGGCCCCCAGGCCTGAATTTGCCCTGCACGGCCCTGGAAGGGTACAACATCTAGAGCATTCTGGGAAAGTAAAATGGCAACTGCAAGGGGATAGCTGCTGAAATTGACAGCTGTTTCCAAAAAGGAAAAAAGAGAGAAGAAAAAGTCCCCTCCCCAATATACAATATTCTAAACAGGATAATGGAAAAACATGAATTAATACTCATTTGTTACTCATGACATTCATTTTCTGTCAAATCCACACCCATAATACATAAGAAGCACAGCCAGAGAAGTAACAAGAGACTGGGACAATAAAATAGTCAAATAGCTGCAGTCTTCATTATTGTTCTCCCCAACACCCTAAATATGTATATCCTACAATGCTGTTCTGTTTATAAGTGACCTCTTCTGAAAAACATCACACACATTTTAAAAAAATTTAAATTCCTCTTTCAATTTACCGTAATCAAAAACTGCAGACATGCTTTTTCAAATTGTTTTTGTTTGTTGTAAAGATAGATTTTTTTTAAAAGAAATAACTTTCCCTAACCTCTAAGCCTGCATTCAATCATCTTTTCTTTGGACTGGGATTGATCTTGCAATGCAGTGATTCTCTGTTTGGATTCTTCACTGTTTGGAGCAACACAATAGGACAGATATGTTCTTTACCTAAGGCCCAAGGATGTTAACCTGACGAATGGGAACATATTGCTTGCTTACCTTTCCTTTTTCTTTCTCCCTTAGGAGGTAAACAGTAAATATTAAGGGGGCTGAAGACAAATGCTTCTTACGAGATACTGAAATTAAACAGAACCCCTAAAATCTATGAATAAACTGTGGCATAAATCACACAGGCCTTTTATTAAAAGCTATGGCACTTGTTAAAGTGCGTCCTGGGGAGTGGTTGGCCATGAAGTAAGAATGTGGGGGCCTTTGAAATGGAGATTTGGATGCTGGTGCCTTTAAGCAGAGATGATGGGGACTCAGAAGTAGCAGGAGGGACAAGCCCCTCTATTGTGTCATCAACAGTTCTAGACTCCCATGCTATTGCTCCTCCCTACCTGCAACCTTACACATGAAATATGGTGATCCTTTATATTCATCAGGAATTTGATGGATGTGCAATAAGAATGGATAGCTGGGAGTGGAGAACTCAAAATTAAAATCCTAAGAGTGGTGAATTACCAGGAGATTTATTGTTATTTTCCCCCTTGTCAGCCTCTCAATATATTATTCTCTTTGTTCCCTGCTTATTAATTCCTGAGTTGCTAATGGTGTAATTTACTTTGCAAATTGCAATCATTTTAATTATTCATTTGTAGGGCTAAAAAAGAGAGGGTGGGGGTGATAATAAAGCAGGGAGTGTTTCAAGCCAGGGAATCCTCTTTCAAGATACAGAACAGGCCACTAAGCTGCTGAGGATTGGATCCCTATAAGTGCCAAGGGTATTTTGAACTTTTGCAAAGTTCTTCCTGTTAGGTTGTGGGTGAACATATCAGACGACACAGCGATTCTTCAAACAGCTCTTGTTTATTCACAGGCCAGAACAGAACTGAACTGAAGGGTTCAGCCAGCCTGCTTATATAGAGCTCCACTACAACGCAACAGTAACCACTTTCTGTAACTATCCAATCACTGAACGTCACTTTCGATCTCTTTATTTGCATATGTGGACCTGAGTGAAAACTATCCACAGTATCCCCCTGCTGGCCCAGGGTGAGAACTTCAGTACATAACACTTCCAAAGAACCCTTTTTCTGGACTCACATCAGTACTAGTGTAGTTTTCTTTGCTCATGCAGGGGTGATATGCCCAGCCTCTGGAGAATTTCTTCTGGTGTAGCATGCAGGACTGGACTGGGTTAAGGATAGTCTTCCATCACCATCGTTACTGTTGCTGCTTTTCTATAAATGTGTGTACTGATGGAGCCATAAAATAAAAAAAATTAACATTAAGAGTGTAAAACACAACAAATCCAGTTAATAACGCTACATTTAAAACTACTAAACAATTAAAACTATAAAATGGCAGTATTAGACTGAAGCAGGCAGAAAAGCAGCAAACCGCTAAATGCAAAAAAACCAAAACATTTTGAATGGATGGGTTTTCAAAAATTGTTCTGGGTGGGTTTGCATTCCTCCTAAGGCAGAGGTAGAAAACTTTTCCAACCTGGGGCCTCTTTATCTTCCCAGCAATCTCCTGGAGGTGGGCGGGGCCAGAGGCAAAAGTGGGCGGAGCGATAACTATATATTTTGTTTTTGTACAGTGGGCTAGTTCCTCCCCACACACACACTCAGACACCCCTTTATAGCCTCCATTCAGGGGAACAAGAGGCTTTAGCAGAGCTTAAGGGCAAATTCCAGCCAGGCAAAAAACCCTGAGGATGCCTAGCAAGGCTGGGGAAGGGTTCAGCCTAGAGAAAGAGGGTGTGGCTGCAGAGGGGGTGCAGCCTGGCCTGGAGAGAACTCCAAGGGCCAGATAGAGAGGGCTGGAGGGCCGCATTTGGGCCTCAGGCCTGAAGTTCCCCACCCCTGCCCTAAAAAATCACTCTGGCCTTTAGCTAAGAGTGGATGCCAGGCCAAGACCAGCTCCTGCAGAAGGAAGAAGCCTCCATCAAAGAAGATAAAGAAGATTGGCAAAATTAACTATTGAACTATGCAGGACAAATTAGCAATTTGAAGCCCAAGAAAGAAAGAGACTTTGAGTTTATTAAAATAAGGGCAATGTTTAATGCATACTTTTTAAGCTTTGTGTATAGGTTTCTACATTAGTATAACTTTTTAAAGTCACTTGTAATAGGATGAAGAAGGTTTTAAAATTGGATTGTTAAAAATATAAGGCGGTATAGATGTGCTTGAACAAATCTAAAATAATGAAACCAAGAAGGTGGGTGGAGGGAAGTCAAGCAAAAAGTAATGGTTTAAAAACGTGTTTATGATTTTTTCCTTTTTTCCTTTTGTTTTGTTATTATAAAATCAATAAATTACTTATTTAAAAAATCACTCTGGCAATGCTGGTTGGTCCAGTTTTGTCAGTGGAGGCCAAGTGGCAATAAGCACCTTCCGCTGGTAAGGTGTCCAGTGCAACCCCTCCATACTCTAGAACATTTCTCTGAAGAAAATAGGGTCACAGTTACCGGTATCCATATGCAGGTAATGTCCAGATGAGATTACTGGGATGTGCTACATGTGAAGCGTATGCCTTTGAAGACTAGCTGGAAACACCACTTTAATTCAAAAGTTACAGCTGTTGAGGGTATGTGAATGGCGTAGCCAAAAGTTGCTTTCACTAGATTCATTAAGTGCACGAGGTGGTTCCTTTGAACACCCAAGGTCCGTATAGTTAAAGCTATGGTTTTCCCAGTAGTGATGTATGGAAGTGAGAGCTGGACCATAAAGAAGGCTGATCGCCAAAGAATTGATGCTTTTGAATTATGGTGCTGGAGGAGACTCTTGAGAGTCCCATGGAATGCAAGAAGATCAAACTTATCCATTGTGAAGGAAATCAGCCCTGAGTGCTCACTGGAAGGACAGATCCTGAAGCTGAGGCTCCAATACTTTGGCCACCTCATGAGAAGAGAAGACTCCCTGGAAAAGACCCTGATGTTGGGAAAGATTGAGGGCACAAGGAGAAGGGGATGAGAGAGGACGAGATGGTTGGACAGTGTTCTTGAAGCTACCAGCATGAGTTTGACCAAAGTGCGGGAGGCAGTGGAAGACAGGAGTGCCTGGCGTGCTCTGGTCCAGGGGGTCACAAAGAGTCGGACACGACTGAACGACTAAACAACAACAATATGCATCAGGCAAGCAATGATCATCCAGTAAGTTACAGTCTTAATATTAGTACATCTTCCATACACTCAGACCCCAGGAACTGAGGGCTGCTAAATCAAACAATACGTTGTTTTGAATTCATGTCTAATAAAGAGAAGACATATTTTTGTTGCTGCTGTACTAACTTAATTATTAGATTTCGATCCCATCTTTCTTCCAGGGGGTGCAGGTTGGCTACATGGTTCTCTCCCCTCCTCCTTAAAACAGCTCTGCAAGGTGGGTGGTGAGACTGAGAGATAGTGATGGATCCGAGGGTGCAGGTCATGGCTGGGTGGGGATTTGACCCCCAGTCTCCCAGGCCACACACTATCTCTTTATCCACTTTGCCAAACTAGCTCCTAATACTTCTTGTAGTGATAGTAACCGTAGCAATAACAAAACTGAATTAGCTCCAGTTGTGCCCAATAGGGAATGCCATTCAGCTACCTCTACAAACTGACAGAGTGGCTCCATATTGTAAAACACTTTGCCACATCCACATTTTACGTATTTAAGGGTCCGCCATGTGCGAAGAGGCCCTGAGGAGATCCTTTGACGTAGGCCTTGAAGGGGGATCTTACCTTCACTGAGGAAGGAGCAATAGCTCCTTAGATGGCTGGTGTCTCCCTCCCCTTCCCTGCCTCCCTCGCATCCCCTTTTACAGTTGCCAGTTTCAGGAAAGTTCAGCTGGTGCCGAAGCCCAAACTTCTTTGAGTTTTCCTTTCCAAGCGAGTATGTTTGGAGACCTCCACGTGGGAATCGTAGGAGGCAGAACAGAGAGCAAAAACTCAGGAGCCGATCGTTCTGAATGGGACAGATGGCAACTCTAGCCAAAAATAGCTTTTTCAAGAAGTGGAACACATGGTAAGTTGCATTAATTTTAATAATTGCTTTTTTATTCCTTGATTTTTTTTTAAGCTGGCAAGGGCCTCTCTACCCAAGATAATTAGTATACTTCTCAGTTAGTGCTTTGCTGTTATTTTTTTTCCCTTCAAACTCTACGGTTACTGAAAGCTGCCCACTTATGTCAGGAATGCTGTGCAACTGTCGGATACGCATCAGAGCAAGGCTGGTGGGTTGGTGCGAGGCGCCTCCTGAGGAATAGCTCTGCTTCCTTTATCAGGAAAGTGCCCGTGAGATCCTGACAAGAAGGGATCATTTGTTTTGTTACTAAGATGAAAATTTTTTGTGGGGGGTAAAGGTAAAGGTAAAGGTAAAGGTAAAGGGACCCCTGACCATTAGTGGCCAGTCCAGTCATGGCCGACTCTGGGGTTGCGGTGCTCATCTTGCTTTATTGGCCGAGGGAGCCGGCGTACAGCTTCCGGGTCATGTGGCCAGCATGTTTCTGGCGAACCAGAGCAGTGCACGGAAACGCCGTTTACCTTCCCGCCGGAGCGGTACCTATTTATCTACTTGCACTTTGACGTGCTTTCAAACTGCTAGGTTGGCAGGAGCAGGGACTGAGCAACGGGAGCTCACCCTGTTGCGGGGATTCGAACCACGGACCTTCTGATCAGCAAGTCCTAGGCTCTGTGGTATAACCCACAGCGCCACCTGCGTCCCTATAAAAGTTTTTAATAGCATTCTGTATTATCTGATTTTCAAAGATAGGTGGTGGGTAGTCCAACCTTCCAAGTTTGTCTGAGCACATTTTGGGGGAAGAGGACATTTTTAAGCTTCTGCAGCCATCATATAAGACACATCGCTCTGTTTCAGACTAATCAATGATCCAAGGATCTGATTCCTTAGTAATCTCACCTTGCAAAATTGATGACTTTGAAAATGTGCATGGAATCCACCCTTTGCTGCAAAACACTAGGAGAAAAAAGCCTAGTCAGGATCCTAGTAACAGCTGAAAGAGGGGCACCCTATTTTCCCCACGTTACACGACTAAAATGCCACCAATGGGAGACAAGGGTGAGTATTTGCCTTTTTGTCCAAACCTGTAGGTGTGGTTTGTACTGTTACCCAAGATGGATGCCTCAGTGAGTTGAGACATGAGAAATCAGAAACATCACCAGAATAGAAAAAACATGCTTCAGGGGAGAAAGAGAGTAAAGTTGATTCAGTTCCTTCCTTCTGCTGTAAGTCAAAGATGTTACTTTTGACAGGATGGCCAGTGAGCTGTGATTTATAACATTTTCATAGCATTTGTCCTGCTTTATTAGGTTTATTAGAAATACGGTGTGCATGCTGAGGTTGGGAATTCAATGAGATGGGAAGCCTCGGAAAGAGAGAGGGGAAGAGCCCAACCCTCCACATTTCCTGGAAGAAGAAAACGTCACTCTGAGGCCACATTCACGCCATACATTTAAAGCACTATGATACCACTTTAAACCGTCATAGCTTCCCTCAAACAATTCTGGGAGCTGTAGTTTGTCAAATGCTGCTGAGTTGTTAGGAGGCCCCTATTCTCTTCACAGAGCTTCAATCCCCACAGTGCTTAACAGCCAATCCTTCTTCCCATGGAATTCTGGGAATTCTATGCCATGGGCCAGGAGTTGGCTTCACCTGCTGAGTAGCAGCCTGAAGGAGCAGGAGGCAAAGTGACTCCACCTGCTGCTGATCAGCCTTCTTACTCCTGATGAGAACCAGTTGGCTCTAGCTTTCTTAAAGCAGGGTTTCGATCAGTTGCTGGAAACAACATTCATTGTTCCAGGCCAGAGCTTGCTGCTTCTTGCTTCTCATGACCTTGGACCCTCAGCTTTCTTGACCCCTGGATCATCTGACTATGTGAACTGAGATACTCCTGACCTTAGGACTGGACTGAACCATGCATATGGACTCTGCCTCCAGGCAAGTACCCTCCTGTGAGACTCGACTGGTTGGTTGGCTTCTCCCTCCACTGAGCTCTGGTCAGTTAGATAAGTATTTCTATTATTTTATTTGATCTGCCCCCCCTCCTCTTGGCTACACTTACGCACCACTTTTAAAAGTCTCAAAACAACTTATAATTATAAAAGCGTACAGGATAGAATATTTGCA